AAACTTTATAAAAATATTATAACTTTTTTAATTATTTAATATTTTTAATTATTTAAATATTATTTTTATTATTTTAATTTTTTTTATTTTAAACTTAAAATTAAAAACTTTATTTTAATTTAAAAAAGAATATTAACTATACTTAAATTTATAATATAATTTATATTTAAAAAATAATAAATAATATAAAATAAATAAAATAATTAAATAATTATTAAAAATATTATAATTTAAATTTAATTATTAAAAGTTAAATATTATAAACTTTATATATTTATTATTATATAATACTTACTTTTATAAAAACCTTTTAAACCTATTTATTAACTACTTTTCTACTTATTAGCTATCCTTTCTTAAAACCTACTATCTTTTAAAAATTCTAATTATATTATTTAATACTTTTAAATATATTTTAATATTAATAATATAAACTATATTTAAATTAATAAACTTTAAAAAGAAAGAATAAAAGAATTATTTACTTAAAAGATAAATTAAAATTATTAAACTATTTATAAAAAATAAATTAATAATTAATTATTTTAATAATATTATTATAAATATATTAATATTTAATATTTATTAAATAAAGATTATAGTTATAATTTAATTTTATATAAAAATATAATTTATATACTTTTTATATATAATATTTAAATAAAAATATATTTAAAAATATTAATTAATATAAAATAATAGAAATAAGTTATAATTATTTTTATAATAATAATATTAAATAAAATAATAAGTATAATAATTATAAAGGTTTTATTATAATAATTAAAAAATATAATAATAAAATTAATTATTTAAAAAATAAAAATAATATTAATTATAATTTTATTAAAAACTTTTTAAATAATATTTAATAAAGATAAGTTAAATATAAATTTTTTTTTATTTATTTAAATAAAAGGAAAATATTATTATTAATTAATTTAAATAATATATTATAAAGTTTAAAATATTTTTAAACTTTTAAAGTATATATTTATTATTATTAAGAAAATTAAGATATAAAATTTAAGAATATTTATAAATTTTTTATAATATAATAATTATAATTATTAATTTAATTAAGTTATTTAAATAATATAAAACTATTTAAATATAATAAATAATTTTAAAATATATTAACTTTAAAATTAAAATTATAAATATTTTTAAAATAATATATTAAAAATAAAATTTATAAAAATAAATATAACTATTTAATAAAATATTTATATAAAAATAAAAAAGAGTTATAATAAAAAAATATAAATATTAATAAAAGATAAAACCTTTCTTAAATAAAAAAGGAATAAAAGAGATAATATAACTTATAAAGTTTATTAATTAAATAACTTTAAAGTTAAAATTATAAAATAAGTTTATTACTTAACTTATAAAAAAGAATAAATATAAAATACCTTTTCTAACTATAAAAATTTAATCTTTCTTTTAATTACTTTATTACCTTAATTAATAAATTACTATTATTAAGTAGAAATATTTCTTACTTATATAAAAGGTATTTCTTAACTTAAATACCCTTTTATTATACTCTCTTTTAATAACCTTTTTATACTCTCTTTAATACTTTATATTTATATAATAAACTTTAAAATAAAAGTTTTATTAATTATAAATTTTATAAATAAATATTTTTAAAATTAATAACTTTTAAAAATAATTTCTTTTATTTAAAGTAAAAATTATTAATATTATTTATTTATAATATTATATTTAAATAATAAAAATATTATAATATAAATATAAATACTTTATATAATTTATTTAAATTAATTATAAACCTTTAAATTTATTATAAACTATTTTTTTATATTTATATTAAAACTTTTATTAAAAATAAAATTAATTTATAATAAATATTTTTAAAATTATATAATTAAGTATATTATAAAACCTTTTAATAAATTTATAAAAAAAATATATTTATATAATTTTTAATTTCTATAATTATTTATATAATAATAAATAGTTTATTTTTTCTATTTTTTATAAAAATATTCTATTATATATAATATATAAAATAAATAGTTTAAATTTATAAAAGTAAAGTTATTATTATAAAAAAAAATTAATAAATTTAAATTTATAATATTTTAAATAAACTTATAATTATTTTAATTAATAAATATTATTAATTTTATCATTTATTATAAAATTAGTTTATATTAATTTAATTTAACTTAAAAAGGTATTATATAGTTTATAAATAGTTATATAAAAATATTAAATTTTAATAAAAGTAAAATAAATATTTATTATAATAATTAAAAAATAATTATAAATATAAAATATAAAAGTTAATTTATAAATATATTAAAATATATATAATATTTATAAAAATAAAAATAATAGCTCTTTTATATATTTAAAAACTTTATATAAAAGTATTAAAATTATTTAAATAAAATAAAAAAACTATCTTTTAAATTAAAAATCAAATAAAATTTATATATATATTCTTTTATAAAATAAACTAACTTTAATATATATAAATATTTCTTTAATAATATTATTATACTTTTTAATTAAATTAAATATATTAAAAGATTATTATATTAACTTAATTAATTTATTAAATTATTTAAAGAATAAAAATATATTAAAAATTTAATTATTTTTAATTAATAAACTTAAATTTATTAATAAAAACTTCTATATAAAGTTTTATAACTTTCTTAAAACTTAAATAATTTAATAAAATATATATAAAATTTTATTTATAAAATATATATATTAAATATTAAAAAGAGTAATATTAATAAAACTAAACTTTATAATAAATTAAATTAAAAATTATAAATTATAAAAATATTTAATATAATATAAAAATATTAAATAACTTTTTTAAATTTTAAGAAATATATATCTTAAAACTTATAAACTTATTTATTATTTTATATTAACTTAACTTTATATTAATAAAATAAAATAATAAATAATTAAAAATATTATTTTTATTATATTATTTAAATAAATTAATATTAATATACTATTAAATTTATAAAATTAAGCTATATATATATTTATTAATTTAAAATTTTAATTAAAACTAATATTATTATAACTTATATTTAACTATAAATATTTATAAAACTTTATTATTTTAAACTCTATATAAATATTAACTTATATTATAAATTAATAAAAGTTTAAGTTTATAAAATTAAGAAAAAAATAAAATTAAAACTTACTTATTAATATAATATTAATTAAAGTTTTTAAATAATTAAAGAAATTAAAAATAATAAAACTTAAAATATAATATATTAATTAATAATAAAATTATTTTATAAATAATTAATAAAAATTATTTTCTTTTAAAAATAATTTATAGTATATTAAATACTTTAATATATATTTACTTTTAATATTTCTTTTTTAAGTAACTTAATTTATAATTAATAGTTTTTATTATTAAAAGGTATATTTTAATAACTATTAATAATAATTTTAAATATAAACTATATAAATAAATATTTTCTCTTAAAGAACTTTATTAATAATGTATTTTTATTTTATTTAATTAATATTTAAAAATAATTATTTTATTCTTTTTTATTTATTATAAATAAATAATTAATTATAAAAGTTAAGAATAAAGAACCTTTAACCTTAAGTATAAAGTTTTACTTTTAGTTTTAATAATATTATAAATAATTATAAAGTTATTAAAAAGTTTTATATAATAAATTTAATTAAATTAATTTTTAAAAATATATTATATTTTATTCCTTTAAAACCTTAACTATTTACTTTTAATTTAATAATAAACTAAAAATATAAATAATTATAAAATAAAATTATTATATTTTTAAAAATTTTAATTTTATTTTAATAAATATTTATAAAATAAAATTATTTAAATATAATTATTTAATTAAATTAAAAATAATTAAATAAAATAATTATATTTTATTATTATTTTAAATTTATAATTTCAATAATTTTATTATAAATAAATAAAATAATTATTAATAATTAAATTTATAATTATATAAAATAAATTTTATTTTTAAAAAATTATTAATATTTAAAATAATTAATATATTTTTAAAATATTAAAGAATTATAAATTTAATTTAAAATATATTAAAATTTATTAAAGTTTTAAATTTAAATTTAAAAATATAAAACTTTATTTTTAAAATAAATAAATTAAGAATATTTAAAAATATTTAAAAATATTTAAAAATATTTAAATTAAATTAAAATTAAATTAAATTATAATATAATAAAATAATTAATTAAAAATTAATTAAAAATATAATAATAAATTTTTAATTTTATATTAAAATATAATATATATATATTATAAATAAAATTATTAAAAAATTAAAACTTTTAAAATAATAATAATTTTATTTATATTTATTTTAATTAATTTATTTTAATTATATAATAAATTTAATATTTATATATAATATTTATTAATATTAAATTAAATAATTTATAATTTATAAAATATTTAACTTTTAATAAATTAATATATAATTTAAATTAATTAAATATAATTTAAATTAATTAAATATAATTTAATATATTAATATAAAAATATCTTTTAATAATAAATAATATTATAAATAATTATAAAATAATTATAAAAGTTTTATATAATAAAGTTAATTAAATTAATTTTTAAAATATATTAATTTTTTAAAAGTTTAATTATTTATTTTAATTTAATAATAAAATTAAAATAATATAAATAATTTATATATATATATTATAAATTATTTTTAAATTAAAATTAAATAATTTAAAATAAAAATAAAATTAAATTTTATATATAAATATTTAATATTATTTTTATTAAATTATAAGTTTTTAAAATTATAAATATAATATTTCTAATAAAAAATTATAATAATTTAATAGTAAAGTATAAGTTCTAATTTCTAGCTATTACTATTAGTATAAATATAAAAGCCTTAAGTTTTATAAGCTTAAGCCTCTAACTACTTATATTTATTCCTTAGTACCGCTATCTACAGGCCTGTCCATGATATATATTATAGAGGATCGCGTTTGCAATACGGCTAATTGGAGCATTATATGTATCATTGTGCAGAGACTTAAGATTCTAAAGGACGATGCGAACCACAGTGGCCATACACACAAGTCAAGTGATGATCGAGTTAAAGTGATGATCGAGTTATGAAATCAAATGCTGCCGTTCAATGGTCTGCCGTAGGCAAATGTGGAAAAATACCCCCTCGGAATGTGGAAGATGGAAGGATCATGAGTGAGAAGAGGAGAAATTACCAAACAAAATAGATGCAGAATGGGGAAAGCAAACATTCCAGTCACAGCACATGAGTACTTTTCCCTCCTCTTGCTTCTTCACTGACAAACGAAATAGCCATGTTTTCAATCTGGTGGTGTCATGGTGGCTCTACCGACCATTTCTCGACTGTCATACCCATAGTAGCGAAAGCAACATTACCCTCGTTAGTGTCGCACGTAGACAGGACCGCTCCCCCCAACGGCGAGGGTACCCCAGCCATGGCCGAGTTAATTTTCGTCGTCACCAATGCGGATGCGGCCTTCGTTGGACAGGCCGTGGGCCCAGTATCCACCAATCTCAACGTTTGTCTCGGGAATGCTCCGGTGGCTGACAAGCAGCCAAAGGCCGAAGATGGGCTTGGCCAGTACGTCAAGTACGGCGTAGGCCAGAATCTCAGAGTCGACAGACGCCTTGCGTGCACCGTCGGCAAAACCCCACACACTGGAAGAGAGTCAGCCTGGCACGACTGGCACGCAGGATTTCGGGACTTGTGATGGATCAGAGGTGGTACTCACATGGGGTAAGCTGTCCACAGAATGAAGGTGAAGAGGGCCAGAGAACCAAAGAGCTTGGTGACCTTGTTTCCACGGGCCTTGACGGTGTTGGTGCCGTGCAGGGCAACGTGCCAGATCACAAAGATGTAGGCAATGCAGGCAATGGCGTACCAGCCCCACTTTTGAGCGGTCTTCTCGTTGCCATAGGCCGCAAAGAGGCCGGTCAAGATCATGATTAGATCGGCGACAATGGCCATGATGGTATGGGCACCATCGATTCCGGCCAGGAGGCAGAGGTCGGCCAGCAGGAGAGGGGTGGTGATGGCCCAGTCGATGTACCTAGCGAAGTAGACCTCACGGCAGACATCATGATATGTGTCGGGGACCTTGTTGTGGTGGGTCTTGACCTGGACGCAATGCAGGTTGGCACCGTGACCGGTGGCCATGCTAAAGTAGGAGAGGGCGGCAGTGATGGTAATGAGGGTGGTTATGACGTGGTAGAGACGCTTCGAGACGGGGATGTTCCACGAGAGTAGGGTGAAGAAGCCCGAGGCTACGAGCATGATGACGAACACGACCCATAACGTGCTGAAGCCAGTGTCGCCGGCGACCTCATATTGGGTGGGGTCGGCTGTGGTAAAAGAAAAAACAGAAGCGATGTCAGTCAGATTCCAAGACACGGTGGTCAGGCCAAGTTGGAAGTTGTTGGAACCATGTTCAAGAGGCACTTGGGGAGAGGGGGCGGGTGTTTGTCTGGCTGAGGAGATGCGGTGGAAGCGACGGCAGGAGTGAGGCAGAGGCGTGAAAACAGATGTGAGTCTGTGTGACAAGAACGACGAGGCTGGTTGAGGAAGAGAAGGACGGGGGGTGAGGAGGAGGAGGAGAAGGGTGGTGGTGGAAGCTCTCGACATACGCTTGACAGTGGGAATGGGTTCGATTTCGAGGACGTTCTGCATCTTGACCGCAGCGAGGGAATGAGAGCAAGTCAAGGTGTGTCTGGTCCGGGGCTGGTGGAGCTGGATTCAAGCAGATACGGCAGGCCAATTGGTGAGCACGAGTGGTCGAGGTTCTCTCACGATTGCCTGATGGTGTGAGGAGGAAGATGCAGAGGATGAGAGGGGGGGAGAGCGGAGGCATAGAGGTTATCAAGTCTGTGGGAAGATGGCGGGCGGGTGCTGGCCAATGCTCCAGCCACCCGCAGCAGCTAGTGGTTTGGACATGATGCTAGCAGGAGGCTGCAATGCAGCAAGCAGCAGCAGCAGCAGCAGTAGCAGTAGCAGTAGCAGAGCAAGCGTTCCAGTGGTCGATGCACCGACGTAATTGATGACGTTGATGATCGTGAAGTGAGTGGCCGTGGGGGAGGTTGGAAACGGAGTGGGGAAACGGGGGCGGGCGGGTAGGTACGGTCAAGTTCAAGTGCATGTACTGTGGCATGGTGGCGTGTAAGAGCTCCTGAAACCTTCAAGGTTGCCGTGCATACCTGAGCAGCTGAGTGGGTATGAATATTTTCAAGTAGGCAGATTGGTAGAGCTAGTCTGGTGCAATTGCCTGGTTTGACTTTTGTTACCCCTCAAAGTCGAGAGAATCACCAGCTGACACAAGTCTCGGGCGTTGTGGCATGGCAAAGCACCACATTGCCAGCCCTGGGGCCTGGACACGGGCCTAGACGTCGATCGCGGACGGCCATGCATTGTTCATGTAGATAGGTACCTAGGTACTTGATAGTCTACTGCATGTATGAAGTGCTCAGCCTGACAGCCACCCGCCATCCTCCCAGCCACGAGACCGATGGCCAAATGGCCAATGACCAATGACCAATGACCAAGACCAACGACCGATGTGAGGCAGCATCGATGGCCGTCTCCTCCTCCTCCCGGCCTTCTCTACTGATGCACTCTGGCAAACTCAATCGGGCTGTTGTGTTTCTTGTGCCCCTTCCTCCTTGCCAGACACAGCTCTGTCCTCGATGACCGACGTCGTTGCGATCTCCCCGCAATCTCGCAAGTCGCCCCGTCGTGCTAGCTTTCATTTCTTGCTCGTTCCGTGCCACCAGAGCTTGAGCTCTTCCCCGCGTTTTCCACCCACTCAGGATCCTTGCTTGATACCACGGTACCCCAGCCAGGCTGGTGGCTCGGCCGAGTCGGCGTTTCAACCCCAACAAGCCACCGTTTCCAACCGCGTGACCCGTGACGTTGCACAGTACTCCCTCGTCCGTGGCCAATTGAATTTCCACATGCCAAGAGCCGCAATATGCCAGTGGCCACTGCAGTGCCAGTCAGCCCAGGTGCCGGACAACTAGTGCCCCCTCCAACCTCGCTCACCTCGCTCACCGTCTCGCAGCTGTGGGTGAGACGCAATGGCGACATATGCCTCTCCGCAATCGCCCACCTGCGTGCCTGATGCTTACAACCCGAGGTGAAGCGGCCAGTCACCCTGCCCCGTTTTCCACGCTTCTCGATCCCACTGTGCTCAAAACACTGATGACTGCAGTATGGTGCCTGGATCAGTCACCATGGTCCTCGCCGGTGCTATGATGGCGCCGAGGGCTTCGGGCAGCCGACTTTAGATCTCGTCGTGTCCACAAGTGTCGTTAATATAACTTATAATAACCTTAGGTATTTATTATTATATAAAGGTATTATAGTATATCTTTATATATATATAGAATATAAATAATATTAATAAATATATAATAGTTTAATAAATTATAATATATATATATATAATTAAAATATATTATTTTAATTAATTAATATAAAATTTATAAATTAATTATATATTTTTATATATATTTTTAAATATTTTTATTTTTTATTTTATATATATTTAATACTATATATAATATATTTATATAATAATATATATAATATATTTATATAATATTATATATAATATATTTATATAATAATAAATACTTAAATTTAATATTTTAAAAATAATATTATTAATAAAATTATATAAATAATATTTTTAAATATAAAATTAAAAGATTTATAATTAAAATTTATAATTAATTATTTTAAAAGAATTAAATTTAAAAACTTTTAAATTTAAATTTAAAGTTTTATAAATCTTTTAATTTATTTTAAATAAAATAAATTATAATTTTTAAATTCTTTAAAATATATTAAATATATTAAATATATTAAATATTAATAATATTTTTAAAAATAAAAGTTTATTTTATATAATTATAAATTTAATTATTAATAATTATTTTTATAAAACTATTAAAATTATAAATTTAAATAATAAAATATAATTATTTTATTTATAAGTTATATTTTAATTTAATAAAAACATAATAAATTAAATAATTATTTTAAATAGTTTTATATATAATATAATAAAATTAAAATTTATATATTTTTAATTAAAATAATAATAATTTTATTTATATTTATTTTAATTAATTTATATTTAAATTATATAATAAATTTAATATTTTATATAATAATATTAAATAATACTTAAATAAATAATTTATAATTATTTAAAATTTTAATAAATTAATTAAATTTAAAATTAATAATATTAATTAAAATTAAATTTAATATTATTTATTTATTAAAATTAAAAGTATTATAAATTATAAATTATTTAATTTAATATTAATAAATATTATATATAAATATTAAATTTATTATATAATTTAAATAAATATAAATTAATTAAAATAAATATAAATAAAGTTATTATTATTTTAAAAGTTTTAATTTAAATAAATATTTCTTTATTAATTTTATAAATAGAATAATTATAATTTATTATTATTTTAAGTTTATAATTCTAATAATTTATAAAAATAAAATTATTAATAATTAAAATTTATAATTATATAAAAATAAAGTTTTATTTTAAAAATAATTATTAATATTTAAAATAATTAATATATTTTTTAAAAAGTTAAAATATTATAAATTTAATTTAAAATATATTAAAGTTTATAAAGATTTTAAATTTAAATTTTAAAAATATAAACTTTTAATTTTTTAAGCATAAAAATTAAAATAATTTAAAAGATAATTTAAATTAAATTAAATTAAATTATAATATAATAAAATAATTAAATAAAACTTTATTAAAATATTATAATTATAAATTATTAATTTTTAATATATAAAAATTTAAAATAAATTTAAAAATTTAAAATTTCTTTATATAAAAACTATAAAACTATAAATAAATTATTAAAAACTTTATATATAAATTTTAAATTATTTTAAAATAATAATAATATAATATAAAAGAAATATTAAATATAATTAAAACTTTTTATTTAAATAAATTTTAAAATATATATTTAATAATTATTAATTTAACCTTTTATAAATTAATAAGAGCTAGATATCTTAGAAGGTGCTAATATTAGTAAATAGGGAGGTGATAACTAGTCTAGCTTAGGCCTCTTGTGTTGGCCTCGGTTATCGTATTATTATATCAATGATGACAGTCCAAAACACCACCTATCCATTTCTCGTTGACTCACATGTGAAGAGAAAGTCGGATAGGGAACATAGTGAACGCAGGTTCCCTACTCGCAACGCCAATCGACGTACTAAATGATGACAGCTGCAGGACCCTCATCTTCCGGCAGGCCTGAGCACTGCCCACGGAACCCCTCTTTTGTGCTCAATGTCCTACTCTTCGAAAGGTACTACCACGTCGGCTCTTGAACATCGTTCATCAGCACTTGCTTGCCAACCTGCCCCAGCCCCAAGTGAGCGCCAGTCAAAATAATGTCATCACTTGTAAGGGCAGCGGCGTGCCATGCCTCGCCTGTGTTTCTATCTGCACGAGCGACGACAGACAAAGCCCTCTCTCTGATACACCAAGCAGCAAGGAACAAGGCAAATCTCATCGTTTTCCCAGAGACATACATTCCTGCCTTTCCCCTCTGGAGCTCTCTGAGAGCCCCGACCGAGAATCATGACCTGTTTCAGCGTATGGCTCTCGAATCCGTTTTTGCTGATGGCGAGGAGATCCAAGCCATCCGCGCTACTGCCAAACAAACCGGGGCTATCGTCAGCGTAGGAATATCGGAGAAGGTCCACTCCAGTAGCGCGACGCTGTACAATTCTAACCTGCTTATCGGAAGCAATGGGGACGTGCTGGTACATCACCGGAAGCTTGTGCCGACCTTCTTTGAGAAGTTGACCTGGAGCAATGGGGACGGTCACGGCCTGAAAGTCTCGGAAACAGCATTCGGGAAAATTGGCAATCTCATATGCGGCGAGAATACGAACTCACTAGCCCGATACGCTCTTATGGCTCAAGGTGAACAGATTCATATCTCCACATGGCCTGCAGCATGGCCCACTAGGACGATGAAGCCAGCATCTCTACACCCCGCCAGTATTGACCGAGGGAAGACCGAAAGTTTTCCGAATGGAATTTCGTCCATTGTGAGAAATAGGAACTACGACAACATATCAGCTAACAAAGTGCGCGCTGCTGCTCATTGCTTCGAGGCCAAATGTTACGGAATAGCGTGCGCTGGAGTCCTTGACAGTGACGCTATTAGTATCATCGCCGACGGAACTGAGGACTCGGAAAGAGTGTCCGAGGTCTTAAGGGGTTCCCCAAGGAGTGTCAGCATGTTTTTCGACCCCGCCGGGGCACCAATGCAAGCCTTTACTGTTAATGCTTCCGGTCAAAGAGAATCAAAGGAGTTCTTGCAGCACGAAGAAGGCATTTTGTATGCAGATTTCAACTTGGAGGACTGTATCGAGGGTAAACAGTACCATGACATATCAGGGGGTTACCAGAGGCTAGACGTATTCGAACTCAAGGTCAACCGCCACCGGAAGAGGCCTGCAATATTCCTGGACAACGCAGAAGACAAGCCGGTGGACATTCAAATCCCTGTTCAGCCAACAGAAGTGGCTAAATAGTATGAGGGTTGGTGGGCTATGATAGTTTCGTTTCTAATCCTCATACATATATGGTTTCGCTTCTATTTTATGTGGTTTCGCTTCTATTCCGTATATGTCTGAGGATATATATGGCACCTTTATATGGTGGTAAGCACTTAAGACTTAGCACTTAGAAAGAATACAATACTAATAATAATAGTTATAATATAATAGGTGTTAAGGATATATATAGCGCCTTTATATATTAGTAGTAAATATATAGATTATATTATATAAAATATTAACTAAGAAACCCCTTATAAAGTAAGATTAGGTATTATATAAGTGAGGAAAAACAGTACTGCAAATATGCTAGTATGAATTCATGTATGCCCCATGAAGCCGACTTCACGCTGAATCATGATTCGGCTGCAGTCATCAGAGACCGGAGTCGGCCTGAGGCCAGGGTGCGGTGTCGGAGTATTTGTTCCAGGCCTCGCACTGTTGGTTGAGCACATCGATATCACTCTGCTTCAGACCGGCTTGGTAATCTTCCAGGCGCTCCAAGAAGGTCATTCCCAGACCACCAGAAATGTGCCACGCAATGTGGCAGTGCATTCTAGAATGAAAGTGTTAGTTACAGTACTATTGACTGAATGGAAGTATCTAGGAACACACAGCCAAGCTCCAGGATTGTCAGTCTTGAATGCGAGGAGCAGCCAGCCAGCGGCAGGAAGCATGGTCACGTCACGTCTCACAGGGTTATTTCCGTTCAACATGGACGCGTCAAAGGCATATTTGGTCTGCGATATAGGGGCCGCTTCTGGAGACCGACCAACAACAAGGAAGTCATGTCCCTATATAGAGCCAATTAGCAGACACACAGTGAGACTCTTTGTGGGCTCAACCTACATGGAGATGGATTGGATGGGGGAGACTGAAACCTCCTTCCGGGTCATTCTCGATAAGCCAGTATACCCACTTGGAACATGTCAGTCTCTATACACATACCTAAGAAAGGGCCTTTCAAATGGACCATAAACTCACCTGGTCAACAGCTTCCACACCCCAGACGCTGTTTGTTTCTGGGTAATCCGTGCGATTGGCAGCTATGTACCGTGCGACTGGATTCTCCCATTCCGTCCTGATAGCCTTGCCGTTGATTGTCCACACAAACTTTGGGCCCGGGGGAAGCTGGACCTCCAAGGTGTTGTCGGCAGAAGGAGTGAATGCGGCCGAGACCTTACGTTCGACGACGGGGGTGAGGTTAAGTAGATCCAGGCAGTTGTGGTCTCTTGGCCGTGTGCCCTCTTCGGTTGGCAAGCTATCGGGGGCACCATCATAGTGGAGAATTGCAGCTGGGTATGGATTGAGTGAATGGCCGCAAAGAGGAAAATCGCCTCCGCCAAAGGTCACATTCAACCAGTAGTTTGCAATATCTTCCTTTGCTTCGATTGTGACATCGTACCTCTGACCCACACCGATGAAAAGACTGTCTGTAGTGAAGGCATTAACCGGAACAAAGTCTGAACTGATTATGGTCATATCATGGCCGACGATGGAGACTTGGAAGTGATTATCGACACCTGATTCAATGTCAAAATTTAAACGTGGTTAATTTATTAGGACAGATTAATGTCACATACTAGTATTGATAAGACGGAGGCGATGTCTCTTGCCCGGTGTGAGTGTCACCTTCTCGTACTCGCCCTCTCCTGTTGCTGGGTTTACTGTGTGGCCGTTGAAGAGAACATTGTCGCTGGGGGGAGCGCCGTTGGTCTCGGTGAAATGTACTATGTTATCTGCAGAGTCGTAGTAATAATCCGTCAATATCATAGGGCCCAGGTCAATATCGTAAGGTGTGCTGGCCGGTCCATCGATCTGGATGGCGCCAATAATCCCGTTACCGTACTGAGCGGAGAAGTGGCTGTGATACCATGCTGACCCGTACTGTCGAGCTATGAAGGTATATTGCCGCTCACCACCTTTCGGGGGTATGGGACATTCGGTGACTTAAGATACTGTTAGTAGTCTAATATTGTATTTCCACCAATGAGAAAAGAGGACCTGAAGGCTTCTGCCCAGGGCCTGTGAATATGACACCTCTGACAGAGCCCAGTCTCACTCCGCCAGGAATTGCGGCTGTTGTGCAACAACTTACTGCCGTTGACACCGTCCTGAAGCTATATTTTGGTAATGTTAGAGACTGATTGGACTATATTGGAAAAAGTTCGAGAACTGCTCCTATTCTCTGAAGGTTTCTTTCTAGGGGCAATAATAGTTGACAGCGAGTGAACTTACATTGGTGCCGACCTGTCTGAATCCGTGCCAGTGAATACTTGTGCCTTGCCCCGTGTCAGCTTTAGTGTAAAGAGGCTCAATCCTTACTTCAGAATCGGTTCTCACCATTGGTCTCCAGGTTATTGATGACTCGGACCGATATGGTGTCACCCCAGTCGGCCGCGAGGGTCGGGCCTGTATGAAAGGATTAGTGGCATCATGCTACGCACAGAAAATTGGTCACACACCAATGATATCGCCTGCCACGAGTTTGGGTCAGTCACCATTTCAATCAAAGATAATTGCGGAATCCCTTACCGTTAACTAGCATCACTAAGTCTTTAACAACACCATCCGGCCCCTTCCAATTGGTTTCTTCAGTGAGATTCAGTGTATATGATCTGACGACACCAGTAAGCGGGGTGGTCGTTTCATAATCAGTGGCGATGTCGAAGCCATCGACCCAGCATGCGCGGTTTGCAGCTGTGTTGCAGCCATTGTCTTGACGGACTTCAATAGGCTGAAGGAGCGAGGAAGGAGCAGCTGTGACCGACTGCAAGGACAGCAGCCCGGTGAGGAAGATGGAAGAGGAAAGGTGCATCTCGACGAGGTTGGGAACGAATGAACCGAAGAGTCAGAGGCAGCGAGCGAGCGAGCGAGGATTGAGAAGAATGAAGGGAGAGTGATTGGTGTTAGAGAGCGGTTGTGATGGCTCTGAGGCAGATGGAGATGGCAGAATAGGGAGCCTTTATATTCGAAGCTCACGACACTATTTGCCTTAACTTGGATCTGACCCTCACACAACTGCTGTCGTTCGAGGGATCTAACCAGCAAGGAGACCCATCCAATGTTTTCCCGATTAGGTGTCAATGGTCGAGATGCTAAGATTACACGAAAGGGAAATGGGTGTGGTCAAACGCGGTCTAGGTAGACGGGCTCCTCTCTCACAAGACCGCGAGGTCGCGAAATGAGATGCGTTGTGCTTCCATACCGTAAGCAACCTCATCAAAGGTGCTCCAGTGCATGCATACCATTTAGCTTCGTTGGTGATGAGATCCCGAGCGCCATGAGAATCTAGATGGCCCAGGTGAGGTCCATCAGGGAGCGTGGCCTTGAGGGCCTATTCACGGCTGTGGTGACAACCTCGGTGTCACACACCTTCACTTGAACTAGAAACAAGGACGCAGTGCCATTGAATGGAAAGTAATTTCCGAATGCGAGGACGATATGGATAGATGTATCAAGATGTACCCAGGTTGAGGCTCGACAGGAACAGCATGGGACGGTTGGTTCTTAGAGTATCATGGAAGACCTACCTAGGTACCCATAGTTTGCCTACCTCGGGGGTTCCTGCGCAGGCATCAAGGCCTGCCTATTCAACTGATCTTGCTGAATACGAGCCTCACAAGAAGTAGGAGCAAGTCCAGTGCGGCTGTTCGGAAACATGCCTGTTCATTTGGCCGTGCAGGACAAGGCCTAGGATGAGGGCAAGGGCGCAGGCATGAGCCCTCAATCCTCGAACTTTCTTAGCTCTTTTCAGCTTCATCCATGAGGTGCCCATTTCCAAGCCGTTAGGCAGAATGAGGACGTGCTCTCCACAGCACTGTGTATTCGATGACTTTATGAGTAAGACTGCCCCGAGGAGTCAAGCTCAAAACAGCCTGGTCGTCACATACTAGCTTCGTCCCGGCTGAGCTTCATGGAGGGCTCACTTTCCGGGCGGCTCGGAGAACTCGCATGAGGGCGGGAGGTATGGAGGTGTTCGACAGGCCGAATAGAGTTTGACCTGGCCATGCTGGCTAGCCGCTGACAATCGCTCACGCCACCTAGGCAACCGATGCTCACACACGACATAGACTATAATCGCAAGTAGGGGTCGAGGAGCCACCACCCACCACCGGTAGCGCAATCCTACCTAGGTAGCCGCCACAACATCAAGAATCCGACAGGGTGACCCTTGAAAGCGATCAAGGCACAAGTGAACCAGGATGTGTTTGGCTGCTTTCTGGTGCGGTAGGTTCCATTCTAGCAGAAACCAAGTGGATCACTGTGTACTGTATGATGAGGGTTCGAGCCGATGTTACCGTTTCATTCCACCTTCGGGAGTTTGTCAGTCGCTGGAGAGAATCATATCTGAGAGGCATGAAAATGGACAAAGTCGATTGCTCCTGGGAACCGGCTGGTGCGGGTCTGCGACTACCAAGAAGCGGTCAGATCTGGCTCATCCTGGAATGAATCGGTGCCTAGGATTTCAATGTTAAGATCCCGAATCCTTGGGTACTATCCGGATGTTCAGGGAAGGATTGGGCATCAGAAGTACCAATGACAGCAGTAAGCCGGTACTCATGCATCACTGGCATGAATGGATGCTTGGGAGTCCAACTACAAATTGATCTCAGCATAGACTTTGTACCGAGGCCTCACTAGCCCGGGTGATATCCCGAGGTCCCCTCGGGCCCGACTTGCAGATACTGGCGCAACTGTCGACAAATAACCACATGATTGATATTTCAAAATGTCCAGCAAGTTGACGGCGCACTTTGCTGCAATGTGCGTGATTACCTATACACGTCTCACGAAGTGCACAGGGGCTGCTCCCACACAGACGCCTACTACAAACAGCCTAGGTGAATGCGCCAGCGGCCACGACGTCCTCTTTTGGCCATGACCTGTCGTCTCTGCGCGAGTAAGACGTGCAGCTGGCCAATCACTGTCGTCAAGGGGCGGCTTTTCGTCGGCCAGTGGTGTGCGCGCCCATCGACATTGCACCGGGAATTGGGATTCGGATGCTAGCGAAGCACTAAATCCTCGAAGCCACTGAGCCCCAAGAATGCAGTCGGTGTGAGTCCATGATGTTGCCACTCATTTACATAAGGCTTAGCACGAGCCCTTCCCATGGGCTGCGGGACTGGGATTGCACCCCCGGGGCAGTCTTGGCTTCGTGTTTGTGGAGACCCTGGTCGGCCGCGGCCTCCCCTTTCCAGGGTTGGTCTGGCTTGTCTGGCTGACACGGCAATAAACATCTTGAGGCTGACATCCTGGCCTGCCCAACAAGTCTTGGTAGGCTATCATACTCAGCCCAACTGTCCAGAACCAAACGCTGTCAGCACAGCTGGCACGCCACAGATCCTGTAGATTCTAGGTTCGCACCTCGCTTCCACGCCGTTGGCTCTTGTCATCCTACGCGACCGGAACGCGTGAATACACCATGCCAGTGTCGATGATGACTGTGTCGGGAGCCTGTATGACGACTGGCTTCGAATCCGTGCAAAGGCCTCTGCATTGATGGGCATTCATCCCCGCACACATGACATGTTGGACCTGATGCGCATCGGAACTTTCGATCGTATTATAGGCGCATCAACACTCGGGCCCTGCGATGGATCCATACCCATGCCCGTGTATGCATGAGAGCACACATGAGTGCCGCACAGAAAGGGGAACCAGCCAGGGCAGCCCAGCCCAGGTGAGTGGACGGCCGGCTGATCGCGAATACTGGCGCTGGCGCAAAAGGAAGTTGAGAATTGAGAAGTGACGAAACGAATCGGACTGTTCCGACCCTCACCGGCCGGCAGCTCGATGGACAAGCGAGGTAGTATCCCGCACATCCCGTTGTCCCATTTGTGGGATCCACCCACACCGCCGTACTACATAGTATACTTTACCCTGGTTGAAGACAAACAGGGGTGGGTGTGGCCTTGCTCCCCACGTGTATGTTCTTGCTCAAGTGCTACGTCTCAAAATAGAAAGCTCCACCAACACAGGCATGAGCGAACTCTCAGCCTGTCCTTGGGCTCAACTCTCTGGCAGGGGCAACAGTCGCTGCAAATGGCCCGACTCCACACTACCTAGGGTACCTAGGTAAGCACTGCCTCCGGGAAGCTCAAAGCAGAATGTAGAGCGGTCCCATGACCGTATGCTGCGTGGGGCGCAAAGGATCCTTGGGCCATAGAACTCTTGGTTTGGGTAAGATTACAACCTTGGAATGTCTCTCTTACAGATGTAGACCGTCCGCATCCTGCTCTACACATATGTAGTGCCCAGGTGCCCTGATGGCAGGAAAATGGCCTGCCACTGCACATGTTGTGGTCTTGGGGTGCATATTACAAGCACAGTGGGTCATAGACATTGCCGAGTGCGGACTACTACTTCCTGAAGTCCCAAAGGTTTACATTTGTCTTCGCGAGTGGGGCGGCCCCACTTAAGTAAGACTACGGGGTAGGTCGGTCGAGGTATCCATCTAACCCAATGACATAGCTCTACGCTTCGGTCGTTGTTGGAGAGAGAATTGTCGCTCTTGAGGTCACGACCCTAGGTTCAGCACACTCGCTTTTCTTGCCCAGCGCTGGTTGCCTTACATGCAATGTCTACGGAGTAGCGTTGCGCTACAATATCAGGACCGCCCACCGGATTAGGACGAGCCTTGTCCAATGCCCTCAGAGTCTCATTGTGTGCCAAGGCGTGTATGATGCGGCGCAGAGACGCCAAGGGGCAAGTTGACGTCTGCAGCTCAACAATCGTGCAGTTTGGTGAGACACGAAAAGGAGGAACTAGTGAGGGGGTCATATCTTTATGTAGTGACACGACGGGGGCAAGCTGGCAAGATGGTACTTCGTGGTGTCCCATCACATCAATTGTCTTATTAATCTTTTGCTGAGTCTTATAAATCGGTCGGTGGGTAACACAGATGGCTTGCTTTCGATGCACATCACATAGATTAAGTGCACGTGGTACCTGGCTCGTCCAGCATCTCGCGCTAAAGGCCGATTGATAGTCTGGCGATAGCTTGCTTATGCATGTTCGGAACGCGGCAAGTCGCTTACCCCAGGCCGAGCCAGTCACTTCCTCGTTGGAGGAGACGGGTGTAATAGTAGTCCCGGTCGCATCTCAGCACTTCGCGTCCCCTGTCCTGTGAACTCATTATGGTCCGAACCAGCGAGATTGCAGTTCTGCAAAGATAAAGGAGGACGAAAACTGTGCCTGCCCCTGACTGATTCTCATGCATGGGTCTGCATGGCTGTTGGAGACTCTGCGCCGCGAATCGGGAGAGGCACTGAGGCGGACAAGACACTTCACACTCGGGAATGCGGGCCGCGCATCCCTCGAGGAAAAGCGAAGATACGAAGTCTTCTTTCTCCGAGCCCCACACACAATGCTTACTGCACGGAGTAATACAGTCAGAGACGAAGGCGGCGCACTATGAGTCACGAGAAATTCTGCGCGCTGTCTCATCGCTGGCCGCAGAAGCCGAGTCGGATATCTGGCGAGCTCAGCTGCCAAGGAGCTTACCTAGGTCTAATTCAATGCCCAAGTCCGGGAAGATAACAGGGCCCTGGGCATGTCAAACCTGTCACAATGTATGAGGGGCAAGGGTGAGATAGGTTTTCCCAATCAAATGACTATTGAAGTCGGTGACTGGTTTGTGTTCTCCTCTGAGCACATCTCCGTCGGTAGACCGAGAGGCAGCGCTGTCCAGTGGTCTTTGCTCCGGTGCTTTCTATCTACCTAGGTAAATAGAACTGGCATCACTCGACGACCGGGCCGAGGAGCCACAAGCTATCAAAGCTTCGGAATGAGCAAACATGTAAAGAATCTCCACATATCTAGGATGGAGAGGCAGAAGAATCACATTCTAGCAGGCAAATTCTATCTTCTGGCACTCTAGATGTTGTATCTCAAATTTATTCCGCTTTGCCTACACGCATAAGTCATTATCCATAAGTTTACCACATATGACACAAATACTTTTAGAGATTCTCTACTAGTAGGTCCGCCCGAGGCCCATCTCTCCTTCTTCCAGATGACCAGTCCCCGAGGAATATCACCGCCATGCGAGCCGCCCATCAGTGAGTAATTGATTCCAACTTTTAACACCACATGCACAAGCTATTACGCCTTTTGCTCAGGGGGTCCGCTGGATACAATGCCCATGATGGCTGTCAGAGCAGACCCCTCAGACCTTTGCGATAAATTTCTTTTCCATGATCAGACGGGCAGCAAAGAAGAATGCGGACCCGGCGATTAAAGATGCGCCACCAAAATATCCAGGATCATTATAACTGCCAGGGCCGTGCTGGCCGTTGAGGATGGCCCCGGCAATAGGAGGGCCGGTCAGTCCGCCGCAAGCCCAGATGGCCATGGTAAATCCAATCATGGAGCCCAAATTTTTCGGATCCGGGGTGACAGTTGTGATGATAGCAGCTTGCAAGGATACAATGCTGCCGATGAAAAGGCCTTGGACAACCGTGACCACAATGACGCCAGCTGCCGTGTGTGTGGATGCCCAGACGAAGAGAGAAACAGCACAAAGTAAGCCATTAATTATAACGACGTTGAACTGCATCATGTTAAGTTAGCATGATTGAGTAATACAGGAGATTATAGTGGGAGAGCGCATCGTTAAGACTTCCAAGGTTGTCTTAAAAGAAACTTAGCGCTTGAAGCGTTTCTGAAAGCCAAAAAGATCCAGACAAAGACAGGAGTCAAAGAACAAAGAACCATGAAAGATAGTAGCGGTGGCTAGGTAAATTCAATGGGTAGTCACGTTATCCGATTAACTCTAATGGGACTACTCACGCAGCCCATCCTATCAGCCAGTGCTCCCGCAAAAACACGGCCGAAAATCGACACAGCGTTGAAAATGGCCACAGTATGCGGCGCAAGCTTTGCATTCAGACCAGCCGTGACTGCGAATGGAGGTAAATAGAACAGAGGAATGTATAAGCCCCAATTAAGGAGCCAGCCGCCAATTGCCACAAGAATATAAACAGGCCGTCGCATCAAGGAGAGGTCCATGTTCTGCTTCGTCGGAGGGAGTCGAGGTTTCATTGTGAGGTTTGCATCTGAACATAGTCAGCAGGAGTGAGCAAGCCGGGTGGCTGTGGGTATAAATACAAGCAAGGAGCACGAGGACCATCAGCGCACATATTCGAACTGACCATCCGAAGCTGAGGCCGACTTCATTGAGCAGCCTGTTGAGTACGACGGGAAATATCACCCCACCGACAGCAGCACCCGCCATGACGATCCCAGAAGCAAGACCGTAACGTTTGTCGAAGTAGTGCCCGATTATGGCTAGCGAATTGGAGAAGAGGAAACCGAGACATGTTCCCGCAAGTATGGCCTGAGCAAGGAAGAATTGGTAGTATTCCTTGCAAAAGCCTGTCAAGACGAGCGATATCACGTAAATCACGGAGACCGGTAACATGGCCTGGCCGGTAGCTGTCTGTCAACGAATGCTATTCCACAGTTACAGATCGCAAACACGAAATCGCATTTAACTTACCACGCTGCCGTAGCGATCTAGTACTGGCCCGCCTACCAAGCCCCCTGCGAAGGTTAAGAATATCTGGACGGATCCAATCCAAGAGATGTCTGACTGGGTGTAGGACTTGAGTTGGTTCTCGGAATACCATTGCTGGTAGATTCTGTTGTGCATTGGACTTTCAGTCTGACGAGTTGAACTTCACGTCAGATGTTGTTGACGTACCCGAATCCTGTGAGATAGCCAAATGTGCAGAACATGCTGGCAGCTGACCCCGAAACCACCAGCCAGGCTCGGAATCCGCCCTCGGGAAATACATAGACACCATAACCTCCTTCACCGTGTGTCTGTGTGTCGCTATCAGTTTTGCTTTCGCTTTGGTCTACAAATCTGTGGATCTCCTTGTTTCTGCACTCTTCTTTCATCGTCCCTGGGGCGGTAAACCAGAATTTGTGCAAGGACCAGGGCATTACGATTCCGCGAACTGTACTTGTGTCGTTATTTGAGGAGTCCAGTCGAAGTTCCAAGAATGAGAAGAGGTCCAGTGACGCATGGAAAACTCTTCGGAAGCTTAGGTAGGGGACAGCTCGCCATGTTTAAATACTTAGGTATGACTTTCTAAGTATGAAAGCGCATTAAGTAAAACCCTCCAAATGTGCATTTAATTAGCATGTACCACACCATATAGAGGAACTATATATGACTTTGGATGTATATGGATCAATGATTAAGAACGGTACTATTTAATTGACACGGGGTGAGCCGGCCCAATGGTACTAAAGCTGCGATTGACCCAATTGGCTAAATAGTCTCTCCCTCCGCATCTCAACCAGCAGGGACATCACCCGGTTATGAATCGATTTCAGGCAGCACATGCGTTTCTAAGAGCCGAATATTAGGAGTATGTGGTTTCACTTCTATTCTACATATATCTAAGGATATACATAGTGCCTTTATATAGTAATTAGAAGTATAAGGACTTAATTTTTAATATAAATAAAAGAATATAACTTTAATTATATTATATTTTTCCTTTATATTATATAATTTATTTATTATATTATAATTATTATTATTAATATTATATTTTTTTTAAATTTTAAATTTTAAATATTTATTATTATATAAAAGTATTATATAATAATATCTTTTAATTAATTTTTATTTAATTATTATTTTATATTATAATTTAATTTAACTTTATTTAATTTTTAAATTTTATAAGTATTATTTTATAAATATAATCTTTAAATTTTAAATTTTAAACTTAAATTTTAAATTTTATAAATTTTAATATATTTTTAATTTAATTTATAATTTTTAATTTTTAAAATATATTAATTATCTTAAATACTAATATTATTTTTAAAATAAAATTTATTTTTATATAATTATAAATTTAATTATTAATAATTATTTTTTATTTATAATAAAATTATTAAAATTATAAATTTTAATAATAAAATATAATTACTTTATTTAATTATATTTTAATTTAATAAAAATGTAATAAATTAAATAATTATTTTTAAATATTTTTATTTATAAAATTAATAAATAAATATTTATTTAAATAAAATTAAAATCTTTAAAAATAATAACTTTATTTTTATTTATTTTAATTAATTTATTTAAATTATATAATAATTTTATATAATAAAATATAAATAATTTATTATTATTATTATTATTATTATTATTATTATTATTATTATTATTATTATTATTATTATTATTATTATTATTATTATTATTATTATTATTATTATTATTATTATTATTATTATTATTATTATTATTATTATTATTATTATTATTATTATTATTATTATTATTATTATTATTATTATTATAAAAATATTAATTAAATAATTAAATAAAGAAATAAATAATAAAAAAATATTTATTTATTTAATTTAATTTTAATTTTAATTTTAACTTTTATTTTTAATTAAATTTTAAATTAATTTAAAAATTAATTTTAAATTAATTTTAAAAGTATTTATAAAAATAAATTTAAATAAAATATATTTATATTTATAAAACTTATAAAATTATAATATTATAATTTTATGTAATAAAATTAATAAAATTAATTAAATTTATTAAATTTATTAAATTTATTAAATTAATTAAATTTATTAAATTAATTAAATTAATTGAATTAATTAAATTATATTAAACTTTTATTTTATTTAAAATTTTAAATTATTAATAAATTATATATTAATTTAATATTATATTATTTATTAATTAACTTAATTTATATATAAAAGTAGTTAAAAGTAGTATAAATTAATAATAGTTAAAGGTCTACTTAATTAAATAGTAAAAATGTTTAATTAAGTTAGTTAGACTTATTAATTAAATATAGTCTATATATAGGTATAGACCTATTATTCCTTATTTATAATAACTAATCTATTATAACCTATTATTTTTATATTAATAACTTTTAATTTTTAAAATTAAAGTCTTTTATCCTTCCTTTTAGTTAATTAAAAGCTTTAATTATTAATAAATTAGTGCCTAATTAAATTATTAAATTATTAAATTACTTAAAATTATTATTAAATATATAATTATAAATTACTTAATTTAAATATTATAAAATATTTTAAATTAATATTTTATAAATTATTTAAATTATTTAAATTTAAGTTATTTTAATAAATAAAATTAAATATAAATTATTAATTATTTATTAAATTATTTATAAAATAATTATTAATTATAATTAATTATTAATTAATTTATAATTATTAATTAATTTATTTAAATTTTTAATAGTTTTTAATAATAAACTATTATTTACTTTATTAACTTTTATCTTTTATTTAATCAAAAGTTTTATCTTCTATTTAATTAATTAATTAAATAATTATAATATTTCTTTTATTTAAATAGAATATTTAAATAAAAATAAATAAAGTATTAAATAATAATTTATTTAACTTAATATAAATATTATTAAAATAAAAGTTATTATAAAAGTTTTTAAAAGTTTTAACTTAATTTATTTAAAATATTTTTAATTTAATTTTAAAACTCTTATAAGAATATTAAAATAGTTATTAAAATAATTTAAAAATAAATTATTGAAGTTATTAATAAATTAATAAATTTTATTATTATTAAATTTAATAGTTATATATTTCTCTTTATAAATATTATTAACATATTTTTAATATATTTTTAATTTAAACTTTTTATTAAAATAATATAAGTAAAAGTATTAATATATACTTATAATAACTATAAATAATTTTATTTTTAAAAGAATTTAAAATTATAATAGTTATAATATTAAAGTATTTCTATTAATAGTTATAAAAAGAGAGAAAGAAAGAAAGAAAAGTTAAGAAAGAGAGGAAAGTAACTTACTTAATTAATTACTTAAATAATATAAAGGTAGGTAGATAAATAAATTAACTAATAGATAGTTAAATACTAGTTTAAGGGTTTAATAGATAAACTTAAATTATTAATTATAATAGAGAGAGAAAGAGACTTATTATAAAAGAGTTATAAGACTTACTTAATAAAGAGATTCTATTTAATTAATAGTTAAATTTATATTTAAATAATCTAAATAACTTATTCTTTTAAGTTATAATAATAATAATATTATTATTAATTTATCTTTTTAATTATAATAATAAAGTAATTTTTAATTTATTTTTAAAAAACTTAATATTTAAATAGCTTAAATAATTTATTTTATTATTAGAAGTTAATTAGTAATTAATTAATATTAATTAACTTAACTTATATATAAAAAGTAGTTAAAAGTAATATAAATTAATAATAATTAAAAGTCTATTTAATTAAGTAGTAAAGGCGCCTAGTTAAGTTAATTAAACCTACTAATTAAATATAATCTATATATAAATATAGACCTACTATTCCTTACTTATAGTAGTTAATCTATTATAACTTACTATTTTTATATTATTTAAATTTATATATATTTAGCTTTTATATTTTATATTAAATTTAATAATTTATTAAAAAAATATATAATAATATAATTTTTATTAATAATTTTAAAACTTTATTATTTTAAATAATAATTTTATTTTTAATTTATTTTAATTTATTTAAAAATTTAAATTATATAATAAACTTTATATTTTATATAATATTTATTAATATTAAATGAAATTATAATTTATAATAAATTTAATTTTAATGAATAAATTTAAATTAATATAATTGAATATATTATTATAAAATATATTTCATAATAATAAATAATATTATATATATATAATAATTAATATAACTTTTATAAAGTATTTTATATAATAAATTTAATTAAGTAAAATTTTATATATATATTATAGTATATTTTAATTTTTAATTATTTATTTTAATTTAATAATAAAATTAAAATATATAATAATATAAAATAATAATTTTAATAATTTATAAAATTATTAAAATTATTAATTTAAAATTATATATTTAATATTATATATAATAATAAAATATAATTATTTTATTTAAAACTTATATTTTAATTTAATTAAATAAATATTATTAAATTAATTTATAAAATTAATAAATAAATATTTATATAAATAAAATTAAAACTTTAATAATAATAATAATATTTTTAAAAATAATAAAATAAATAAATTTAAATTTTAATTTAATTTATAATTTAATATTTAATTTAAAATATATTATTCTTTAATTTATTTAATATTACTTTTAAGAAAATTTAATATTTAAATTATTTTTAATATAAAATTAAAACTTTATAATTATAATTTTTAATAAATAATTTATTTAATTATATTATATTATTATTAATTATTAATTATTTTATTAATTTTATTATTAAATTAAAAGAAATAATTAAAATTTATATAAATTTAAATTTAAATTTAAAGAATTAAAATTTAATTCTTTATTTTAAAATAAAATAAAAATTAAATTAAATTATAATAAAATAAATAAAGTAAATTAAATTTAATTAAAAATTATATTTATAATTTTAAAACTTTATATTTAAAAATAAAATATTTATATATATTAAATATTTAATTATTAAATAGATTTTAAATTAAAATTTAAAAAATAATTATAAAAATTAATAAAATAATAATATTAAATAATAATAATCTATTATAATAATTAAACTAATTCTTATAATAACCTAAGGTTAGCTTAAAATACTTAATAAAGTATAGTAGAGTATATAAAATATTTATAAGTTAAAGTAAATAGGTGTATAGCCTCTTTAAGATCTGGTAGTTCAATTGCCGACCAGTCCTAGGCTAATCACCCAGGACGCAGGCTACATGTGCAAGCTGAGGGGCTCGAGGAGCATGAGCCTACACGGCTACTGACGAGTGGCATGGAAATTGATCTACACGTGTATGCTACCGTGAGGCAGCTCTTGAGTCGCGGAAACCCCTTGCAGGACCACCCAGCCAATTGCACAACACGGGAGGAGCACAAGGGTCTTGCGGCTGCCGTTCTTGGGCGAACATCACTCAGCTACAGACACGACCTCTGCTCTCTAATCTGCCATGGGTGCAGCAAATTCGAGAACACAGCGCGGGGGATCCATTTACAAGTCGGCTGGTTGCCGGGAGTCTAGTAGTGGCAACAAACATCAGTGAGTCCATCCATCGACCACCCTGACTGCCAAGTTGCCAACGTGTGGAGGTGGACGCAAAAATGGGGTCTATCAGCCCGCCAGGCGGTGTCGTATCTGGACTGGTTCGGTGGGCGGGTTAGATATTGTCTATGTATATGTACATAGTACTGTAACGCGGCAGCCGATCTTGGGACGCGGGGATCAGGCCCTTCATATGTCAATCGGGCTGGCAGCCGTGGTTCCAGAGCTTACGGCTCCAGCCCCACGTGGGACCGACCGTTTGGCGAGATTTCTCGTGGATTCGACCTGGTGGGGTTGCGCCCAGCCCGGCCACGAATCGTCTCGAAGGTGGTGGGGCGAGTCGCGACTTTGTTTTGGTAGGAGATGCAAGGACGCTCGAAAGACGTTTCGATGGATTTCGCATGTCTTGGTCGCAATGCTTAAAAAGCTGCAGTCCTGTTCTCCTCACCCAGACTGTTCGCTGGTCGATCTAGTAGGCTTCATTCCCAAGAATCGGGCATGTGCAAATCCCTCTCATACGCACCGGGTGATTTTTGCCCAACCGACTGCGTCCATTCAAGGCGTCTAATGGTCCCCTAGATGACGACCAACCCGCGAAATTGGGCATCCCCCTATTTTCTCAGACTGATATTGTACACCAGCCATATCGTACCAAACAAAGGTCCAACTTTCTGGACAACATTCCGCTCTTTGGTGGAACATGTCCCTCCTCGCAGCTACTACAACCCAGACGGCCTCAGAGATGAGCTCCCACGACAAGACCGAAGTTGTTGGCAAATGCGCCATCGAGCTCAGCCCCGCCTTGAAGCTTTCCAACTCAGCCGCCCGCTCTGCTCTTCTCGCATTGGCAGGCCAGCTCTTCCGCATCAACCATGCTCTTCTCATGCATCTTGTGTTCGTGGGCAGCATCACCGTGCTGCAGATTTACCACATCGCCAAAGATCTCGCATCAGTCCTGGGGGACATTGCGTGGTCCACATGGAACTCGAGCCAGGGGAGGCGTCTGCGCAAGAAGCTAGAGTTCGAGTTCTTCGTGTTGATCCTTGGCTGCGGTAACAGCCTGTGCCTGGCCGTCTTCTGGCCGGGTTGGTTCATCATTGGCCTGCTCTACCTGACGTGGACGGCGCTCGGCTTCTTGACCGGTTGAAGTATAGGTGCCGTGCACAAATTCCCAAGCTGGAAGCCAACTCAATCCGAACGCACGGCACATTCGACACGGATGAGTCGAACACCAAATGACGGTTCACTTTGAAAAGAAGAAAGTGTTACCACCGGTGTCTCTCCGGACCTCAGATGTATAGTCCTTCTCTGGATCGAATTCCTGCCACACACTCGCCGGGTAGATGTGTTTGTTGCGCTCGTACCAACGCCGATCGACGACTTTGGTGAACGCTGGATCCTCGTCTGCACCCTCGAGGGTGTTGATGTCCGCCAGATTGCTGTTGAGACCACCCTTGCGGGCCAATGTTGAGAGGGGATTTGACTGTGGTTCGGGCGACCCCGAAGCGCTGGGAGCCTTGGGGGGAGCTTCGGCGCTGTAGTCAAACAGGCGGACGTTGCCCGGCCCCACCGTTTTGTTCATTATGAAGAAGTAGAATTCATAGTGCTGGAACGTGTTATATGTTGTTAGCTAGACTGTACCCACGTATTTTTTGTTCTCAACCGCGGCTTGTGCTCAGGAGACTTACGTGCGGAATGATCATCGTGCCACGGACCAGCATTAGATCGTCGACGCCAACGCGAGCCCACTCCCTCCTCACGTTGGCATTTTTCTCGCCGCCAACACCCAGCTCGGCACCGACCTTGCGCGATTTGTCCAGGAACACCCAGACAAATTCGCCCTTCTTGACACGGACCGTGCCGCCAGGTATATTTGTACCATCGTAGAAGACGAAAGGCATCGCGATTTCGGTGGCCTTGACCGATTCTTGGAGGGCAAGAAATTCCTTCCTGAGTGCATCCCTCTCGGCCGCCTCGCGCCGTAGTGCTGATTTGGTCATGGCGCGGGGGACAAAGCCGACAGAGGTATTGGCCGTGATCTTCCCGGCGGGCTTCTTGCTGTCCTTGTGGCCAGGGTCTGGGACGCCGTCGGTAGTGGGGTCCGATTGATCGCCGCGCTTGCTGTTCCGATTTGTGACGTTGTCTGCTTTGGCCTTGGATGTCCAGGGAGGGCCCGCGTCGTCGTCTTGGTCGTCATCGCCGAAGGACACCAGCGCCTTTTTCGGTTTCTTCTGTTTCTTCACTGGCCGTTCGCTAACCCCATCGCTCAGGTTATTCGGAGTCGCGCTCTGTGACCGGTCGATCAAAGGGGTCGTCGTACCTGAGCGCAGCGCTTCCCTAGCCTCGCGCTCCTGCTGTTCCAGTACCTCTGCCCTGCGTTTGCGGAAGTCTGACAGGTTCACGAGCCCCACAGTGTTGGTTGAAATGCGCTCTTGCGTCGACATGTTGTTTGGCGCTTTGAAACGCGACTGCGCTTGGGAAGGTACGGGGGATTCTGGCATTTTCGGGGGCGGGGTGAGATGGTGGGATGGTGAGATGGTGAAGTGGCCCAAGCCGGTGGTGTAAAGCGTGGTGGTTGTAAAGACGTACTGTGTGATACAAGAGAGTGTGTGTCGGGCAACAAATGTCGACCTCGGCGGCAGACCAGAGCTCCAGCTTGGGCGTGGGGTTAGGGTTCACGACCCCGGGTTTGGGGCGGGTTTCCCCCATTTGAAGGGCTGGCAGGCCTAACCGCCTGTGCCTCACAGGACGAAGAAGAGATGATGGCTCCGTGGGCCCGATATCTCCCAAACCCCCCCCCCATCTTTCATTCAGTAGTTTTACTCGTGCTGGGGGTTTGAAGTCGTGTCTTGAAGAAGCCACACAGGCTCGTGAAGATGGACTCATCATGGCCTTCCCGCCACCTGCAGATGACAGCACCAGTCGTCTTTTGGACACTCACTGATACGGAAAAGCCCAAGGCACACTGCGCCTTTTCCACAGCATCCTGAGCGGCTGGTGAGGCCTCGCGCTCCTTGTCGCGCTTCCTCTTCCTCCGCCATGCCCTACTCCAGACGTTCTCACTGGCCCGTCCAACACCGCTCAGCTTCTCCCGGTCCCACTCCCAAGACAAAAGCTGCAGTGATGCCACCAGTTTGGAAAGCCTGTCGGCCGTCCTGCCGACCTCTTCAGTCGTGTGCAAGGTCGAGACCTCCACCTCGACGATGTTGGGCAGTACCTTTCTCCAGGGGGTGGCCTTGACGCCCCTGCAAGCATCCTGGGCAGGTCTCATGGGCCCGAAGCTCCAGGCCACAGCCCATCGCCTCGTCTTGCTGCCTTGGACGAGTTCGGTGACGGCGTAATTGTCGACGCGGTGCTCCCTCAACTTGTGCACCATGGTCTCCAGGCTGGACACCATCCCGAACATGCAGCTGTACCATTGGACCCTTTCCTTGAGGCGCAGGGACTCATCCAGCAAGCGGCTGACAAACGCGACCTCGCCGCCAGTGCAGACCATCTCCACGGGGGCGCCGGTACATGCGGAACTTGGCGGACGCGCCTTGATGCCGGCCAGCCTGAGCATCTCGTCGGCGGACTCGTAGAAGGGCGGGTTGGTCATGGCAAAGTCAATCCTGTCCAGGTTGAGCTCGTCCAGGGGCACCAGGGGGTCTGCGGGGCTCCGGGGCAGGACCTGGACGCGAGACTGCAGGTTGTTGAGCTGCACATTCCTCTCTGCGTGCTTCAAGTTGTCGGGGTCGACATCTTGAGGCGGGATGGATGTTAGCAAAGGGGGCGGCCCCGACGGTGAGCGTGACGTGTGGGGGCTGGTTGACCTGCGCACCTGTGGCGATGAAAGACCATGGCCGCTGGGCACAGCCAAGCAAGGGGTAGATGCAGGAGGCGCCGGTGCCGATGTCGAGGCCGACGAGCCTGCCGCCGGGCTCATCGTACGAGGTGGAGTCGAGCAGGCGCTTGAGCCATAGTATGTAGTTGTGCCGGTTCGGGACCTGCGGTGGGTTTGTGGTTTTCCCACAGGTCAGCCTGGGCGAGACGGCTGTGTTGCGACGCGTGGGGACTTACAGGAGGACAGAGCCTGTTGTCGGGCAGGTCGATGTTGGTGTCGAAATGGAGCTTGAGGAGGGTCTTGGTGAGCTGTTTGACGGCAGCCGGGTCGGTGAAGTCGAGCTGGTGGCTCGGGCTGAGGCTGCGCGGCTGTCAGCGTCCGTGGTTGCAACCCGGAGACGGGGTTTCCGGCGTCGGTCACCGCACATGGCTTTGAAGTCGGCGTCCCGCAGTGCCAGACGCTGGAAGTTGGGCTCTTGTGCATAGAGGCTGCGATAATACTCGTCGCCCCTGCTCGAGGTAGCCATGGCCTGGCCACCTACCTAGGTACTCCGTAGCTATGTCGGGCCGCAGGCGTCTTGTTGTTGACTGCTAGGTACAGATTACCTACCTAGGTACCTATAGGTACTTGATTAAGTAGAGCAAGCCACTGGGCAGCGGCCAATCGGCCGAGCACGTACTCCGTACTCCATACTACGCACTACGTACCTCCGTACCTCCGTCCGTAGGTCTGGAGGTGGACCCCTGGACCCCTACCCGCCCCTCAAAAAAAAAAAGAGATGCAATCTCGCCACGACGGTGGCACTCCTCTGACAAGCAGAACAAGCACTATCGAGCTGTCGAGCTGCCCTCCTCCGGCTCTTGTTGCATCGCCTCGACCCTCCGCCCCCACCCACATCCACAATCATCGGCCCCGGCCCCTGTCCCAACATGCCCCTCTGGCCTCTGGCTATCGTGTGGCATCCCATCCCCATCGCGCCGTCTCGTCAGGATGGGTTGGTTGGTGTGCCATGGGGCCCCGGCGATACGCGTGCCCGCCGTATAATATCTACCTACCTACCTACCTAGGTAGGTAGCCAGCTAAGCAGGTAGGTATCTGGACTTTCCCATCACCAAACAGTCTGCCTCGCTCTTCCCCTTCAGCCAACACGCACACTCTCGCAAGCCATGGGCTCCTCACAGTCGACCCCGGCGGCATCCAACATGTACACTGCCACACAAGCATCAGACGTCGCCGCTGCGGCAGCAACCGCCCTGACTTTGCACCCCACCAGCGGCATCAAAGGCCAGTCCTTTGACCGCTATGTGCAGATTTTCTTGTAACCCCAGTTCTCTCCCGCCACGCATTGCTTCCTCTCCTTTTGTCCTTTGCAACGACTGACCCAAGATCCTAGCGAGAACCAGGACTATGCTATTGCTGACGGCGATCCCAACTTTGCGTTCCTCGCCAGCTTGGGAATCAAGCTGGATAACTATTGGAGCATAACCCATCCGTCCCAGCCAAACTATGTTGCTGCGCTAGGCGCCGATACGAATGGTGTTTTGCTCGACAACTTTGTGCAGATCGACGAGACCGTTGAGACCGTCATCGATCTTCTGGAGGCTGGCGGTGTCAGCTGGAGCATCTACGCCGAGGACCAACCCTACTCCGGCTTCGAGGCCGACTGGGTCAATCAGGAGACCGGGGCTAACATGTATGTGAGGAAACACAACGTACGTAAATTCTGAGCTCCCCATGCCTTCATGCCTCCGGGTCCGGGTCCAGGTCTAGGTGTTGATTCTTGCAGCCCATGATGAGCTATAACTCGGCAACAGGGGATGTCAACAGGTTGGCAAAGTCAAAGAACTTGACTACCTTCTACGAGGAGCTTGCCAGCAACAGTCTGCCTCAGTGGATCTGGGTCACGCCAAACATGACCTCAGATGGCCACGATAGCTCCATCACGGTTGCAGGCCAGTGGGCGAGGACTTTTATGGAGCCCCTCCTTTCGAATAAGAACTTCAACGTGGACAGGACACTCATCATTCTTACTTTCGATGAATGCGAGAATTACCTGGCAGAGAACCGGGTGTTGGCTGTACTGCTCGGAAGCGCGGTATCCGACGCCCTCGTCGGGACCACCAACTCGAATAGGTTTGATCACTACAGCCTCTCCAAGACGGCCGAAAACAACTGGAATCTCGGAAATCTTGGGAAGCATGATGTTGGCGCTGCGTCCTTGTCCGATGTTTTGGGCTGAACCAACAAATACCAACGTTGAGGGCCCATGTACGCCGCGCTCAGTTTCTATCCCGGCATACCAGCTCTTCATCCCGGGCGGTTGAAACTAAAACAATGTTTCATCAAGCCCACACAGTCTTAAAACCTTGACCATGCCTGCTTCATCATGATGGATTGGCCGGCTAAGTCAGCAATTCTTACAGGACCTTCAGCCTTCCTGCTGCTAAAAAGGGCGTTGCGGAACCCGGCCCGGACGAGGAGACTGCCGGGTTTCCTTGCTGGTGAGGGTATTTTGTGTGTCTGAAGTGATGAGAGCGCGGCCCTTAAATGCTAAAAACTAGCTAAGTATATCAGCGCTTCAAGTACCTATTTATATTAATTTATAAGGTATATTAAAGGTATTTTTAAAGACTTATTTTTTTATTTTAAATATATAAGAGAGATTTTAATAATTAATAATATTATTATATTTTTATTTTTTTTAAAAAGTAAATTAAAATTATAATTAATTAATTTTTAAAATATAAAATTAAAAAATATATAAATTATTTATAATTTTTAAATTTTATTATTAAATTAAAATAAAATAATTAAAGTTTTTAAAAATAAAATAAAATAATTTTAAATTAAATTTAATTAAATTTATTATATAAAATATTTTATAATAATTTTAAAGTAATTTATAATATAATTTATTATTAATCTTTTAAATTAATATATTAATTTATATTTAATTTATTTAAATAATATTTTATATTTTAATTTATATTAATAAATATTATATAAATTAATTAAATTAATTAAAATAAATAAATATAATAATATTATTTTTAATTAAAGTTTTAATTTTATTTTTAAATTTATAAATAAAATTACTTAAAATAATTATTTAATTAATTTATTAAATTAAAATATAAATATAAAATAAAATAATTATACTTTTATTTAAATATATAATTTTAATAATTTTATTATTAAAAGAAATTAAAAGTAATTATTATTAATTAAGTTAATAATTATATAAAATATTTAAAAATATTATAATTTTAATATAATATAAATTAAAATTTATAAAAATTTAAATTTAAATATTTTTAATATTAAATAAATAAATAAATTTAATTATTTTTAAATTAAATTAAAATATAATATAATAAAATAATCCCTTTTAAGTATAAAGCTAAAAGACTTATAATTATAATTTTATAATTAGTTTTTATTTAATTATATTATATTATTATAATTTTATTTAATTTTATTTAAATCTTTTTAAACTTTTCTAACTTTAAAGTCTTTAAAAAGTTAAAACTTTATATTCTTTAATTTTAAGTTTAAGATTCTTATAAATTTTAATATACTTTAAATTAAGTTTATAATCCTTTAACTTTTTAGAAATATATTAACTATTTTAAATATTAATAACTTTTTTAAAATAAAAATTTATCTTTATATAGTTATAAACTTAATTATTAATAGTTATTTCTTTTATAAAGCTATTAGAATTATAAACTTAAATATTATATATAGTAATAAAATATAGTTACCTTATTTAATTATCTTTTAATTTATATAATAAATTAAGTAACTACTTTTAAATAGTTTTACTTATAATATAATAAAGCTAATAGTCTTTAAGTTTATTAAATAAATATTTACTTAAATAAAGTTAAAACTTTTAAAAGAATAATAGCTTTTATCTTTACTATTTTAACTAACTTATATTTACTTAAGTTATATAATAGTATTATATATAATACTTAACGGTATTAAGATTAGGTAGCTTATAGTTTGTAATAGTTTTAACTTTTAATGGATTAATTTATATTAAGGTTAATAGTGCTAATTTAAATAAACTAGATATAATTTAGTATACTATTATAAAAGGTGTCTTTTAATAGTAAATAATATTATAAATATAATAGATTATAAAGTTATTATAAAAGTTTTATATAATAAACTTAACTAAGTTAATCTTTAAAAGATATATTATATTTTATTTTTAAGACCTTAACTATTTACTTTTAATTTAATAATAAAATTAAAAATATAAATAATTTATATAATAAAATAATTAAAATAAAATTAATTAAAAGTTTTTAATAATAAACTTTTTAATTTTTATTTATTTATTTATTTATTTATTTTTATTAAAATAAATATAAATTAAATTAAAATAAATTAAATTAAATTAAAATATTATAAGTAATATTATTTATTATTAACTTAAAAAACTTATTTTTATTTTAAACTATTATTAATTAATAGTAATATAATTAAACTTAACTTATTTAATAGTCTAGGGATATTAAACTAGTAGAGGTCTACTATAATTAGTAGGGGTAAAGTAGAGGCCAACTAATAGACTTAATATGTGTGAATATAAAAACACACATCCTAGGTGCCAGCACTTGGTTCCTACCTACCTGGGTACCTAGCAGCCTAGCTATGTACTTAAGTACCTTGGCAGTCTCCTATGGTCCTACATTACAGGCTAGATGTCATAGTTTCCTTGATTCTGAGACTAAGAATTCTACAATCCAGGTATGCTATCTGCATTAGAAAATACCTAGGTTGCAGGAAAGGTGCCCATCACTTGTTGCTTCCACCACACTGGTTCAGCCCAGGGGAATGACAAGAATGCGCCCCTTTTTTCAAGACCCCCAAACCAATGCCCCTGAGTGCCCCCTGTCCATACCAGGCTTGCAGACATCTGGATCGACCTCAACTAAAATTAGGACGAGAACCGCTGAAATTGACTTCCTGCAACCTCCCTTTTCTTGTCATAGGCCTCCCGGAAGGACATTCTACTGTGGCTATGGCTGGCCGGGCAGGCTGGGCTGACCTATTGCCCTAACCATCTACATGCACATCACATATGAAAGCATTCAGGGACTACGGACCATGAATGCCATGTGCCCGGCCTGCAGTGGTGGGGCAGCACCAGGGCAGGTTAGGCCCCCTCACTTTTGGCCCAAGGGTACCGACCGACCTAGGTAGCTCGTGCCTGTCCCTAGGCTCTGGGCCGGGCCCCATCCCCTCCCCCCTCGCTTATCAACCCGAACCCTACTCAAGTAGGTTCCTGTGGACGGGCTGACAAGCCTGGCCTGTTCTTCCACTGCAAACTGCGAAACGAGAGTCTTACCAATCCAGTGCTAATAAGTGCCAACCTCAGCGCGGCGCACTGGGCACACTTCAGCATCAACCACCATCCATCCACCCACCCATCCGTCCATCCCCGTGGTCCAAGTTAACGACCAACAACCCGATCCAGATCCAGCCTGCCAACTTGCCACGAGGCTTGGTCATCTATCTACACATTGCCCGGCCTTTGTCAATTTGCCATTACCATCACTCCTGTCTCCTCTTCACTTTCCCTGGCTGATTCCCCTCCCGTTCATTGCCAGCTTGCTCCTAGCCTCCCACCTGAACCCGCTGTCTCTCTCTCTCTCTCTCTTCTCTTCCTCTCTGTGGCTGTCTCTTGGGGACGTTGACTTTTCTCTCGGGTTGCAAGTGCTTGCACTACCAGCTGCCGCATCGTCCAGCTCTCGCCCACACCGGCTCCGGCTCACCCCCCAACCCCTCACAATGTCGTGGAAACTCACCAAGAGTAAGTCTTGCTGCCTGTGCAGCCTTCTGGATCCCCTTCCCTAGACTTGCAGCAGCCCCAATCCGTCTTGCAAGCTTTCTCTTTGCTGACCCCTCACCTGCCACCCATCAGAACTCAAGGAGACGCACCTGAGCCCCTTGGGCGGCTTTGGGCGCTCCACCTCCACCTCCACCATCACCGACAAGGACGAGAAGCCACAGTCTAGTATCGCTGGTTCTGCGTCTCCCACACCCTCAGACAACAATATCTGTACGAGCCCCCTTCCCTGCTGACCTTGCTACCCAAGGTGGTCCCAGCCTTGGCATGTGCATCGCAACTCCAGCTGACCAGACGCTTGTCCAGCCTCGTCGGAAGCCCTCACCCAGGCCCCTGTCATAACACCCCCCAAGCCCGGAATACTTGTCGTCACTATCCACGAGGGAAAAGACTTTGCGTTACCTGACCAGCATAAGGGTATATTCAGCAGTCATTCTTCCTCCCTCTCCCAAGGAGGGGGGGCCAGTGTCGCAGGATCCGTACGGCCTGGTTCTTCGCAGAGGACAGCAGGCTCCTACGTTAATGGGCATAGGCCCAACACCTCCGGCGGCTTTGGGAACGTGCCCACCAACCATGGCCGTGTGTCTGGAAAATATATGCCTTATGCCCTTCTCGACTTCGACAAGGTCCAGGTTTTTGTCAACTCCGTCGAGGGTAACCCCGAGAACCCCCTGTGGGCAGGCTCCAACACCCAGTACAAGTTCGATGTTTCCAGGGTGACCGAGCTTACCGTTCATCTGTACATCCGGAACCCGACCGCCCCGCCGGGCGCAGGCCGGAGCCAGGACATTTTCCTCGGTGTCGTCCGCATCAATCCACGGTTCGAGGAGAAACACCAGTTCACCGAGGATCCGAAGGCGAGCAAGAAGGATCGTGAGAAGGCGGCAAACGAGTTCGCCGAAAAGGAGAAGACTCTGGGCCACAACGGCGTCCAGTGGGTCCCGGTGCAATACGGCCAGGGTCAGCTCAAGATCGGTGTTGAATACGTCGAGAACCGAGCCGGCAAGCTGAAGATCGAAGACTTTGAGCTGTTGAAGGTAGTTGGCAAGGGCAGCTTTGGCAAGGTCATGCAGGTGCGGAAGAAGGACACCAGCCGTATCTACGCCCTCAAGACGATCCGAAAGGCGCACATCATCTCCAGGTCCGAGGTCACCCATACTCTCGCTGAGCGGTCCGTCCTCGCGCAGATCAACAACCCCTTCATCGTCCCCCTCAAGTTCACGTTCCAGTCACCCGAGAAGCTGTACTTTGTACTGGCGTTCGTCAACGGAGGAGAGCTCTTCCATCACCTGCAGAAAGAACAGCGTTTCGACGTTAATAGGTCGAGATTCTACACTGCCGAGCTGCTCTGTGCTCTCGAGTGCCTACATGGCTTCAACGTGATTTATCGGGACCTGAAGCCGGAGAATATCCTGTTGGACTACCAAGGGCACATTGCGCTCTGCGACTTTGGTCTCTGCAAGCTGGACATGAAGGACGAAGACCGTACCAACACTTTCTGCGGCACTCCCGAGTATCTCGCCCCGGAGCTCCTGATGGGCCAGGGCTACAACAAGACGGTGGACTGGTGGACCCTTGGTGTCTTGCTCTACGAGATGTTGACGGGTCTTCCGCCCTTCTACGACGAGAACACCAACGAGATGTACAGAAAAATCCTGTCGGAGCCGCTGCATTTCCCCAGCCACGACGTCGTGCCCCCGGCGGCCAAGGACCTGCTGACGAAGCTGCTGAACCGGAACCCAGCAGAGCGGCTGGGCGCTAACGGGTCTGCTGAGATCAAGGCGCACCCGTTCTTCCACGCGATAGATTGGCGGAAGCTACTGCAGCGCAAGTACGAGCCAACGTTCAAGCCCAATGTGGTACGTATCATTTACCTTTTCTTCCCCCCTCCCCCTTCTCCTTGGGGAACCACGAGCCCTCTTCGCTCCCCACTGTTGCTGCCCACATGGCTACAATCTTGTGTGACTATGAAACTTGGTTGAAGATGGGATGTTTTACTGACTGCGCAAACCCTAGGCCGATGCCTTGGACACGGCCAACTTTGACCCCGAGTTCACCTCAGAGGCCCCCCAGGATTCATATGTCGAGGGCCCTGTGCTGTCACAGACAATGCAGAACCAATTCCAGGGTTTCTCATACAATAGACCGATTGCGGGCCTGGCCGATGGTGGAGGCAGCGTCAAAGACCCTGGATTTGCAGGCAGTCTGAACGACAGGTAGAGTGGGCCTCTCTGGTGGCCGAGTGTAGCCAAAGCAGCAGCAGGTCCCGCCTGTGGGACGGGGCGTCAGGGTGACCAAAAGGCCAGGTCAAGATTTTAGAACATCTCCTGTAGGACGAAACATCATCGCTGCCTAGATGAGCCTGCAGATAAGCGGCCTGGTTGAGCCAGATCAGCCCAAGCCTGGGCTGGGGCTAGACAAGGAAGAAGAAGCAACTGGGGGGAGGGGGCAGAACAAGCCAGCCATCCTGTTCACAGGGCTTGGTTGTTTTCCCCAGGCCCCAAGGCAATTCACATGTTGGAGTACGGTCTTGTTCATTTACACATTTCAGTTGGTTGGCAAGGGGGTTTGGGCAGGGGCCATTCTGCAAATTCCATGATCTGCACATGTTGTTACTGGTTTGTGTCCTTGAGCCAGGGGGAAAGCCTGGGGTAGACAGGATGATAGCAGTTGTAGAGTTGAGCTGAATGGAAAATGCACAAAATAGGACCTTGGACAGACTCGGGCAAACTTGGAGCAAATGTCTGCTGTCTGGTGTGGTGTGGCATGGTGTGGCATGGTGTGGCATGGTGTGGCATGGTGTGGCAAGCTGCTGCAAGGCGCGGTGTACCTAAGTACCTACTTGAGTAGGTCAGTAAGTAACCTGGCAGGTCTGCCAGGGGCTGTTGTTGCTGCTGTCGGTTCTGAAGCATTGCAGAGGGAGAGAGGATGAGGGGCAGGATCAGGCCATGTTCTGTACTGTGTATATAGCATCTTGCAAGGTCTTTTTTAGTCAGACAACAACATGAATTGGCGGGCGGGGCAGTGCGGCCCGGCCGGAGAGATGCGGGTGCAACAAACACATGGGAGAAGTTACTCCGTGCACGCAGTCCCGGTCCCCATTTTGTTGGGCCTGCTCACCTTTGCCTGATCACCCCGAATTGGAACCTGGGAGGTTTGATGGGACGACAGGGGGCAGACAAGGCGTTGAGTACTAATTACCTCTCTACCTAGGGTAGCATTATACCCAGCAGGTCCTGCAGCCTGAATCTACCCTGCCTGTAACCCGCATCAGAGCTTGTTGTCTTCTACATGAGATCTGGATTCTTGATCAAGACAGGTGGAGCTGATGCGCCCGGTTGACAGGTGGTGGGCTCAAGCTGCTCGGGTTGTTGCATGTTTCTTGATGTACCCCATACCATGTCCTATCTGACGCACCCACTTGGCCCATAGTTTCTGGGCCTTGTAACATATATCTCATGCTGGTGGTCAGAGCTCCTAGGTAGGCATTGTGACTGGGTACCTAGTAGGACACTGCGGGGCAGCAGTAGCTTCACAGTACCTTAGGTAGGCCATGATGTCTCCCGTTGCTGTGTCCGAAGCTGTGGAAGCACAGGACCCCGCTTCCACCTGGGCGGGCACTTCAACTTCTCTTCCCTCTTGGACCTTGACCTGGACCTGTACCTGGACCTGGACTTGAATGAACATTCACATTTACCCCCCCGCCCCCTAACTTCTAGTTGATCATCGCCTTCTTCCTCCTCTCCTGCCCTTTCCTTCCAGATCAACCACTCTCGGGCTTCCCTCTCCCACCTGGTAGGTGCTCCGTCCCCGTCATACACTGCTCGTTGGGGAGCCCACATCCTGAGCTCTCACGGCTCACCCCCGCCTCCTTCAACCTCTTCTCCTTCTCTGTGTGTGCCTTTCCTTGCAATTCATGGCCCCAACCTTGAGGTGATTGTCCAACCATAAGGCTGATGACGGTTGCTCGCCACAGAAGCAGAGTAATCACCACGCCACCAATCACCAAAAGCAAGGTCAAGATGCCCCAAGCAAGCAGCCTCCCCGCCTGGAGCGAGCTCCAGCAGCACCGCGACACGGTGGGCAAGTCCTTCGTTCTCAAGGAGGCCTTCGCTGCGGACCCCAAGCGCTTCGAGAAGTTCACCCGCACCTTCACCCTACCTGGCTCTGTCTCCTCCTCCGGCAAGCCCACAGACATTATCTTCGACTTCTCAAAGAATTTCCTGACCGATGACACTCTGGACCTCCTGACCAAGCTGGCATCCGAGGCCGGTGTTGAGGAGAAGCGTGATGCCATGTTCAACGGTGACAAGATCAACTTCACCGAGGATCGTGCCGTATACCATGCTGCCCTGCGCAACGTTGGGCTCGAGGGCCAGCCTTGGGATATGAAAGTCGATGGCGTGGACGTCATGGGCACCAAGGGCGGCGTCAACGATGTCCTTGCTCACATGAAGGAGTTCTCCGAGCAGGTGCGCAGCGGAGAGTGGAAGGGCTTCACAGGAAAGAAGCTGACCACCATCGTCAACGTTGGCATCGGTGGGTCAGACCTGGGCCCCGTCATGGTCACCGAGGCCCTCAAGCACTACGGCGCCAAGGACCAGACCCTGCACTTTGTGTCCAACATTGACGGCACTCACATCGCAGAGGCCCTTGCCGACGCTGACCCCGAGACCACTCTCTTCCTGATCGCCTCCAAGACCTTTACCACCGCTGAGACCACCACCAATGCCAACACGGCCAAGAGCTGGTTCCTCGAGAAGACGGGCGGCAAGGGCGACATCGCCAAGCACTTTGTCGCCCTGTCCACCAACGAGTCTGAGGTCACCAGCTTTGGCATCGACAGCAAGAACATGTTCGGTTTCGAAAGCTGGGTCGGAGGCCGCTACTCCGTCTGGAGCGCAATCGGTCTTTCCGTCGCCATATACATTGGTTTTGACAACTTTGAGAAGTTCCTGGCCGGTGCACATGAGATGGACAAGCACTTCCGCTCCGCGGCTCTCAAGGACAATATCCCTGCCATCGGTGGCCTCCTGAGTGTGTGGTACAGCGACTTCTACAACGCCCAGACGCACCTGGTCGCTCCGTAAGTTGAAACCCCGCGTGGCTTGTCCCCCCCCCCCCACCTCCTTGCTCACAATTCATCACCGTAGTTTCGACCAATATCTCCACCGCTTCCCCGCCTACCTCCAGCAGTTGTCCATGGAGTCCAACGGCAAGACCACCACCTCTGATGGTACTTCGGCCAAGTACACGACCGGCCCGATCCTCTTCGGCGAGCCATGCACAAACGCCCAGCACTCCTTCTTCCAGCTGGTGCACCAGGGCACCAAGCTGATCCCCACCGACTTCATCCTGGCTGCCAAGTCGCACAACCCTGTCTCCGACAACCTGCACCAGAAGATGCTTGCCTCCAACTACCTGGCACAGGCCGAGGCCTTGATGGTTGGCAAGACCGTGGAGCAGGTCAAGGCTGAGGGCACCTCCGAGAACCTGGCACCCCACAAGGTCTTCCTTGGGAACAGGCCCACGACGAGTGTGCTCGTCGGCGGTCACATCGGCCCCGCCGAGCTAGGCGCGCTTATTGTCTACTACGAGCACCTCACGTTCACGGAAGGTGCCGTCTGGGACATCAACAGCTTCGACCAGTGGGGCGTAGAGTTGGGCAAGGTCTTGGCAAAGAAGATTCTCAAGGAACTGGACGAGGAGGGCACTGGCTCCGACCATGACGCCAGTACCGGCGGCTTGATCGGTGCCTTCAAGAAATACTCCAGCTTGTAAAGCCCTCATGCGTAGGAAAAGGTGGCCCAGTCTAGGGCCCGAGAGGCAGTCAGCATAGAAGAAAGAGAGATCCTCCAAGCGCTTGTAGTTGCGCGGCTTATTTACATCTTGTGAAAATGAAAAATTGGTCGTTTTGAGCATCTTCCGATTGAGGATAAGCCTAGAACTGTGCGTGTCTGTTACTACCTGAGACGGATCCGTGGAGTAGTATTCCACAGACGCCCTGGCCGAAAGACCACAATTCCAACTTGCCTCACAACTTAGAAACTACCACTTATAAGCCCGTACCATCACACTACCTTTGTCATGAATATAGTCTACCATGGTCTGTGTCTATATCTTCCATGGCTAGCTAGTATACCCTAGCATAATTATAACTATAAATTATTCTAGTTACTTCTTTAATTAAAGTTTAATTATACTTAAATTTAATATATAAACTTATATTTTATATTATAAATATCTTTTTATAAATTTAATTATAATTATTATTAATATATTTTAAATATTTTTAAATATATAATAATTAAATTATTTCTTTAAATATAAAGTTAAAAAATATATACTTATAATTTTATAATTAGTTTTTTAATTATATTATATTATTATAACTTTATTTAATTTTATTTAAATATTTTTTAAATTTTATTTTTAAAATAATTTAATATTTAAATTATTTAAATTTAAATTTAAATTTTATATATCTTATTTTAATTTAAATTATAATTATAATTATTTAATACTTTTAATATATATTAATTATTTTAAATATTAATAACTTTTAAATAAATAGAGATTTATTTTTATATAATTATTTATTCATTTATTTATTTATTTATTTATTTATTTATTTATTTATTTATTTATTTATTTATTTATTTATTTATTTATTTATTTATTTATTTATTTATTTATTTATTTATTTATTTATTTATTTATTTATTTATTTATTTATTTATTTGTTCATTTATTTGTTTATTTATTTGTTTATTTATAAATTATTAAACTTATAAGAAATAAAATTTATAAAAAAATTAAAAATATAAAGTAACTTTTAATCTTTTAATTTTATTTTAATAAAATAGTATTTATTTTTAAAATAGTTTATTATTATAAAACTATTAAATTTAAAATTTTAAAATAATATTTTTAAATAATTTAATCTTTTATTATATTATAAAATATATTTTATTATTTAAAATAAAATTATTTTAAAGTTATAATAAATAATAAAAATAAATATTTATATAATAAAAGTAAACTTTTATATTTATTATTATTTATATTTTATAAATATAAATTATTAATATAAAATAACTTTTTTATATTAAATAAATTATAAAAGTATTATAAAATTTATTTATAATAATTAAATTAATATATTAAATAGTTTATAATAAATATAAATTTTTATTTTTTAAAAGGTTACTTTATACTTTTTATCTTTTACTTTATAAATTATTATAACTATACTAAATTAAAGGTTAAAATAGATAATTAAATATATAAACTATTTATAACTTTTAAAGCTTTAAGCTCTTTTAATATTAAAACCTTTAAAAGTTTCCTTCCTCTTTTCTTTCTTTTAAATAAATTAAATATTATTTAAAGTTCTATAATCTTAAAGAAAACTTAAAAGTTTTATTTTTCTTATATTTATTTTATAATATAAATCTTTATTTTTAAATTATAAATTTATATAATAAAATATAATTATTTTATTTACTTATATTTTAATTTAATAATATAATAATTTAAATAATTACTTTTAAATAATTATAATTAAAATATAATAAAATTAATAAATAAGTATTTATTTAAATAAAGTTTAAATTTTTAAAAGAATAATAACTTTATTTTTATTTATTTTAACTAACTTATATTTATATTTAAATTATATAATAATCTTATATTATTATATAGTTTTACTTTTATTCTATATATATTTAAGGATATATATAATACCTTTATATAATAGTAAGCACTTAAGACCTAGCGTTTAGAAAGAATATAATACTAATAACAATAGTTATAATATAGTTTCACTTCTATTCCATATACATCCAAGGACATACATAGCGCCTTCATACGGTGGTAAGCACTCAAAACCCAGCGCTTGGAAAGAACACGATACCGATAACAATAGTTATAATACAATAGGTACCTTATATTATTATCTCTATAGTATTACCTATCCCTTTACATTAGCATTCCACCATTAGCACAAACAACTTGTCCCGTACACCATGCCGCATCTGGTAAGCAAAGCATAGCTATGATGCCGGCGACCTCATTCGCGTAAGCCGGACGGCCTCCTGTAGTCTTTGCGTCCTGGATGACGTTTTCAGGGTCAATACCACTCCTCACACGCATCAATGGTGTGTGCTCGATCCAGCCTTTGGCCTCCCTCTTGAACTCGTCCGTGTTAGACGCATACAATGGCCCTTCCACAGGACCTGGTGTAACACAGTTCACCGTGGCATGTTCGGCAAGCTCCCTAGCCCAAACACGCGTCATTCCCTCAATAGCTGACTTGGTGCCGCCGTACACTGCTTGGCCCACGAAGCCACAGTGCGCTGATATGGATGAGACGCTGATGATTCGACCTGAGCGGTCTGTTGGCAGGTGTGGTTGAACAGCCTGCACGAGCATCAAGGGGGCAAGTACATTGATTCGGAAAGTGGTATCAAACTCCGAGACCTTGATTTCCGGGAGCTTGTTATTCAGGGCGATACCGGCCACGTTAAGCAAAATGTCAATTTGGAAAGGCTTGTTCGGCTCCCGCTCGGTGAAGTGCTTCTTGACTGCGCGCACAAGGTCTGCAGGGCCGGTCGGCGTGGCGAGGTCTCCACGTACATCGAAAGCCTTGATGCCGTACTTTGACTGGAGAGCTTCAGAAAGGTCCTCGGTCGCAGGTGCAGATTCAGGAACAAAGTAGCTGAGAACAAGGTTGCAGCCCTTGGCAGCCAAGTTCGCCGCGATGGCCGTCCCTATAGCTGTTGAAGATTAGACACTCCGCTTATGAGGTAGAAGCCTCTGGGAAGCTGCTTACTTCCTGATGCCCCTGTGAGGATCGCAAGCCTGCCTTTGAGTGGTTTGCAAGACATTCTTAGCCTGTGTTCTTTGCGAAATATTGGAGTGTTCCTGTAGGCAGACCAAGCAGACGACACTCAGCTTTCTGACAGGCATGAAACGCAAGTAAGATGTAGTATATCACTTTGTTGGAGAATGTAAGAATGAGCTGTCCAGAAAGACGAGAACACAAAATTTATATGTAAAGGTACTTAAGTACCTTCACCGATGTTACGTATCTCGGTCGCGTGGCTGTGAACACCGAGATGCCCGTGCAAGCGACATTTCTACACGCCACATCAGGCATGGAAATCTCCAGACCCTTACGAGAAAAACACATATGGTATGTCTGTGAGGCTCACATTGACCCACAAATCCATAATCTCGCGACACCTGCAGACCTGTAACACGTGCCAATGGAGTCGACCCTTATAAAGTGGAAAGAAACATGCGCACCAATCAGATCACGGAATCCAGGCGTGCCAACAAGGCCGGCTTGTCTTCATCCCTCAGTATCCGCCTGCGCTAAAATAGAAAACTTTTTAGGATTATTTTTCCTTCACTAAGATCATTCATAGAGGTTAAAAGTAGGTATATCCCGCCGCATATATAACTTCTTAACTAATATTAGTTATAAATTTTAAACTACTTTTTATAACCTTAGTTTATATTAAAGTATAATTAAAAATAATATTAATTATATTATATTTTTCTTTTATATTATATAATTATTTCTTATTTAATTATTTCTTTCTTTCTTTTAAAGTTTATATATAAAGTTTTTAATAACTTTATATATATTTTATAGTTTTTTTATAAATAAATCTTAAATTTATTTTTATATTTTTATATTATTAAAAATTAATATTTATTAATAATAAAAATATAAACTATTTATATTTTTAATTCTATTATTAAATTAAAAGTAAATAATTAAAGTTTTAAAAGAATAAAATATAATATATCTTTTAAAGATTAATTTAATTAAGTTTATTATATAAAACTTTTATAATAATTTTATAATTTATAATATTTATAATACTATTTATTATTAAAAATACCTTTTATATTAATATATTAAGTTATATTTAATTTATTAAAGATTAAAACTATTATAAACTATAGGTTATTTAATTTTAATATTATTAAGTATTATATATAAGATTATTATATAATTTAAGTAAATATAAGTTAGTTAAAAAAGTTATTATTCCTTTAATAAATATATATAAATTCTAACTTTATTTAAATAAATATCTATTTATTAACTTTATTATATTATAAATAAAACTATTTAAAAGTAGTTACTTAAATAAATTAAAAATAATTAAATAAAGTAATTATACTTTATTATTATATATAATATTTAAGTTTATAATTTTAATAGCTTTATAAAAAAATAATTATTAATAATTAAGTTTATAATTATATAAAAATAAATTTTATTTTAAAAAATTATTATTATTTAAAATAGTTAATATATTTTTAAAAAGTTAAAGGGTTATAAATTTAATTTAAAGTATATTAAAATTTATAAAAATCTTAAATTTAAGCTTAAAATATAAAGTTTTAACTTATTTAAAAATAAAAGGTTTAAGAAATTTAAGGAGAAATTTAAATTAAATTAAATTAAGTTATAATATAATAAAATAATTAGATAAAAGTTAATTAGAATTTTATAATTATAAATTTTTAGCTTTATACTTAAAAGAAATAATAAAAATATAAATTTTAAAAAATAAGTTTATTATATTTTTTTATTTTTTTATATATAAATCTTTTATTTTAATTTATTTTAAAATTAATAATTATATATTAATATAAAATTATAATATTAAATTTTATAAACTTATTTAATAAAAGTTTTATTAATATATATATATATATATATTTAAAAATAATTTTAATATAATTTATTTATATAATAAATAATTTTAAATTTAATTTATTTATATAATTATTTTATAATATTTTAATTAATATTATTATTAAAATAATACTTTTAATTTTATTTAAATATTATAAAATTAATTTTAATTATATTATATTTTTATATTATATAATTATTTATTTTTTAATTTAAAGTTTATATATAAAGTTTTTAATTTATATATATATTTATAATCTTTTATAAAAACTTTAATTTTTTATTATATTTTTATATTATTAAAAAAATAAATTTATTATACTCTTTCTTTATTTTTATAAATTACTTTTAAACTTTTTTAAAAGTTTTAATATTTTATTATAAAAATTTAAAATAATATATTATAAATTATTTTTATTTTAAATTCTTTTAAAGTTAATAATTATATACTTAAATAAAAGTTATACTATTTATTTAATAAAAGTTTTATTAATATATATATATATATTTAAAAAATAATTTTTAATTAAACTTTTTTTAATATAATTTATTTATATAATAACTACTTTTAAATTTACTTTTATTATATAACTTTTTTATAATATTAATTATTAATTAATTTAATTTATATATAAATAATTAAATAAAGTAGTTATTAGTTAGCTTAGCTTACATATAAGAAGTAGTTAAAGTAGTATATATTTTAGTTAAAGGTTTGCCTAGCTAAATGGTAAAGCGCCTAGTTGGGTTGGCTAGACCTATTAACTAAGCTTAGTAGTTTGTATATAGGTATAAACCTATTAATCTTATTTATAATAGCTAATCTATTATAGCCTATTATTCCTATATTAGTACCTTTTTAGTTTTTTAAAATTTTCCTTTTAGCTAATTAGAAAGCTTTATTTACTAATAAAGTAGTTTTTAATTAAATTGCCAAATTACTTAAAATTACTACTAAGCATGTAATTATAATTTAGTTAATTTAGGCAGTTTAAAAGCGCTTTAAATTAACGTTTTACAAATTGCCTAAACTATTTAAATTTAAATTGCTTTAATAAGCAAAATTAAGTTTAAATTGCTAATTAATCAATTATTTATTGGGCTATTGCTAATTATTTGCCGGCTATAACTAATTATTAATTAATTTATAATTATTAATTAGTCTAATTAGTTTTTTTAATGGTTAGTTAATTAATTCTTTTAGCAATTTTTTTTTTCTTTTTATTTATATAATTAATTAAACCATTTAATTAATAGCTAGCTAGCAGCTATTAAAAAGTAGGGCTTATTTTAGGCATAAATTACTATTTATATAGTTATTTGAATAAGGGGCTTAATTATAGTTTGCTTAGTTGGTTGCTTTAATTAAATTAATTAGGTTACTAAATATAGTTTTTATATAGCAAATATATTACTACCTTATCTATATAGTTGATTATTTAGTTTATAAAACCATTATTTATACTTAAGGGTTTCTTAAAAAGGGTGGTTAGAAGGTTAATAAGGGCGCCTAGCAAGTTAGTAGGTAAGCTTAAATTATTAATTATAAAAAAAATTGCCTAATAGGTAAAAAAAGTTATTACAACTATCTATAATTTAATACTTTTTATAAACTATTATAAAAAAAAGGGTTTTATTATAAAAAAGTTATAAAACTTATTTAGTAAAGGGGTCCTATTTAGTAGTTAATTATACCTATAAGCATCTATAAATAACTTTATTTTCTTTAAATTATAGCACCTATAGGCATTTATAGACAGCTTTAGTAATAGCCTTAAATATATTATACCTTATTATTAAAAGCCAGTTAGCAATTAATTAATGTTAGTTAGCTTAGCTTATATATAAAAAGTAGTTAAAGTAGTGTATATTTTAATTAGAGGTTTACCTGGCTAGACGGTGAAGCGCCTAGTTGGGTTAGCTAGACCTACTAACTAAGCTTAGTGGTCTATATATAGGTATAGACCTACTAATCCTGCTTACAATGGCTAATCCACTACAGCCTACTATTCTCATAGTAGTATATATTAATATTAATTAAAAGGTTTACTTAATTAAATAATAAAACGCTTAATTAAATCAATTAAACCTTACTAACTAAATTTAATTTATATATATATATAGGCTAACTATTATTTATAGTAAATAATTCACTATAACCTACTATTTCTATACTAATACCTTTTTAATTTTTTAAAATCTTCCTTCTATTTAGCTAATTAAAAAGCTTTATTCTACTAATAAAGTAGTTTATAACTAAATTACTCTAACTACTTAAAATTACTACTAAATATATAATTATAATTTACTTAATTTAAATACTTAAAAACACTTTAAATTAACATTTTATAAATTATTTAAATTACTTAAATTTAAATTACTTTAATAAATAAAATTAAGTTTATATTATTAATTACTTACTAAATTATCTACTAGTTACTTACTAACTATAATTAATTATTAATTAATCTATAACTATTAATTAGTTTAATTAATTCTTTAATAATTTCTTTTCTCTTATAACTTATTTAGTTAAGGCGCTCTAATATATATTAAATAGACTTCCTTTAATTAAAGTAATAATTATTAAAGTTATAATTATTAAAGTTATAATTATTATTATAATTAAAATCATCATTTAAATAGTAATTATTTAAATAATTATTACTTAAATTAAAGTCTTTATTTAAAGTAAAGTTTAATCTACCTTTATTTAAATAATAATCCTTCTCTTCCTTATAGTCTTTATCTCTATTAATAATATAATTCTCTTAATTAAACTTAAATTAATAAATTAAAGTAAAGCTATTAAAACCACTACTACTACTATAACTACCACCACTACTACTACCTTATTATATAGTAAGGCTAGCTTAAATAAAGCTATTACTTTATTAAATAGTAAAGCTAACTAAAAAGTAGTTAATAAAAAAGTTAAATACTTATTAAAGTTAAAGCTTTAACTTTAACTTAAATAACCTAAAGGCTATTAATTTCAATTTTAATTTAATAAAAAGTAATTACTTTTACTACTTTTACTTTTTATAAGCTATTAAATTAAAATAGAAATCTATCTTTTAAATTTATTTTAAAGTTATTTAAGTAAATATTATTTATCTTTTAGTTAAAATATTTATATAAAGTTAATAAAAGTATTAACTACTTTCTTTTTTATTAATATAAATATTATAATAATAAAAATATTTTAAAGCTTTTAAAAGTATTATACTTAATTTTTAAAAGTTATTTTTAATTAACCTTTAAAAGTTTTAAAAGTT